TATCTCAGATACAGAAGCCCCGGGCACCCTAGCTGAATAACCTAACCCGCAGATTGATGCGCACCATACCCGCCTCCACCCTAACCCCCTAATACTAACCCCAGCCGTCCCCCGGGTCCTTTGAAATCCTCAAGTACCGCAGTGGTCATCATTGAGCAAAGAGTCGAGACTCGAGACCGCTTGCACAGTCTTGCGCAGGACGGCATTGTGCTTTAAAGTTCACTCTTCGCTGCGCTTTTGAACTGCTCTATCCAAAAAGCAGAGCGTCTGGCTGAGCGCAGTGAGTGCGGCCTGGCAAGTTTTCTTCCCGAGGCTTTCCCTGTCGTTTCTAGATTTTAATTTTTGTGAACCTGTTCTGAGCACCTGTTATCAATTGCCTTTTCCAACTAGTGGTGCAATGGCAACCGTTGCGTTAGCGAATGGGGCCACTACCTCCATCGCAAGCTCTTCCATCTTCCAGTCAAAATCTGTCACCCTGCAGGAATCGGCAAAACCTCTGTCGAGTCATAGGAGAGCAGGTCTGCCAGTTGATGGACAGGTAGGGTTTATACCACCCCCTGTTTTATTTTAACTCTGACGTACATGACTTTGTCATGGGCGTCAGGACGGTGTCAGGACATAGAATGTGTTTTGTGAAGCTGTCTTTTCTCAGTAACAGGAAGATAGTGGGAGTGCAATGGTATCTGATGTGTGTGGCTTTCTTGCAACAGGCGTTTCGCAGCATTATGTTATTGACGACGCTGGCGAAGTTTTGTGGGCTCTTCAAATTGCTGTTTGCCCTGTAATTCCCTACGATTCTGAAGGGTTTCTCCAAGCACGCTGTTAGCATTTACCTTTGGCGCTCTAGTAACGGGCGTCTGCAATTGACTGTTTGCTGTTCAGCATTAATTGGCAAATCTTGCGGGGGTAAGAGCGATTCTGATCCAGCAAATCCTGCTTGCTTGAGAACTACGGAAAAACGTGATTATATATCCCACCAGATTGGCAATCTCACAACGGTCTAGAGTTCACCATGCTTGGGCACGAAGTTCAAAGAAGTGCAAGGTGGTATGTCATTGCAATCAACTCGGGATACAATCTTGTGTCACATGTTCTCCATAAATTGTGGTCAGACTCTGAGGCTGCAATGATTTTGCAAGTTCCATTCTGCCACAGCAGAAACAAGCTGTCTGTGTTGGATGCAAGTTCACGGCTGATTTCGGTCTTCTTGTAAAATTATTATGCAAAGGCTTTGGAGCTTGTGGGCCCATCACATCTTATCGCCACGAGTATTGTCAGCATGCAGCTCACTTGCCTCTCAAAAAAACTCTCAAGTGGTCCAGATGGTGGTTTTTGGAGAATAGATATCAGAGTGCCCAGAATTCAGTGCAGACCTCTACATGGCCGCATCCGGGCATGCTGCCTGGATTTGTGTGCAATAGATGCTTCATTGTAGGAGCCTTTCACCCTGCAGGTCTTGGGTAGTGGCAGCCTAAAAAAGGAGTCCAAGCACATAACCAGCAGTCTCCAGCCAGAGCGAAACCAGAAGCCGGCAAGGGGGCAAGGGGAGGAGGCTTTGGAGCAGACTCCCAGTATCGCAGAGGTGAGGCGATTTGCGAGAAGTCGTTATGCAGAGGCGCAGTGCAAGTTGTTCTTTAGTTTCCTTGATTAAGGGCGCTTGCAAGCTGCTTACCAGTTTGCTGGCCCTTGCAACGATGACAGTGCTTTCATAGGCAGCGCACAGCTGTCCTTTTGGAGTCGTCACTACCACTGGGCCACAATTGTTGATGGCTCTGGGCTTTCTCATTATTCACGTTTGGGTGTATCTGGAGCCACCCACTAGGTTCGCTTCTGCCATCAGCCTAGTGGTGCTTGAGAGATTAGCTACACCCCAAGAGGTCTGACGAGGACACACTCCTTTGTATGGTCTTTCTTACAAATACAAGGGAAAAGGACAACCGGAGACAACCAACAGAGAACCTGAGGACGAGGACAAAGGGGTAGAAGAAAAATACAACGAGACTTTACTCTTGTTGCAGGATGGCGAGCATAGGCCCAGGCCCCCCTCTCGCCGCCACTTCATGCTGTGCGTCAGCTGCGCGGCAGCGGGAGCGGTTCTGGCGTCCGGAGACGCCGCCACAGCCGAGGTCGACAGCCCAACCGTCGAGGGGGCTGTGCCGGGTTGCAGGAATTGCAATGGGTCCGGGTTTGTGGTTTGCGACATGTGCGGGGGGACGGGCAAGTGGAAGGCGCTGAACCGGAAGCGGGCAAAGGACCAATACGAGTTTGCCGAGTGTCCCAACTGCTATGGTGAGGCTCCTAACTTATATTGGGCGTAGGGGTGTGACGGACGGCGTCACCGGCGTCGCTCTCTTGACGAATCTTGAGGACGGCACTGGCCGTCTTGAATTCCAACAATGCAAGCCGTCCGTTTGTCATTGCAAGCGCACTTGCTACCCCTCCTAAGGACCTTAAAGACCTCGTGTTCCAAGGCCTGGACCGTTCGGTAACTCCTCCATTGTCTGTTCACTGTCTGCATAGACCATTCGCAAGGCTTCTGTCAGATCAAAAGAGCAGGACAGCGTGGTCGGAAGAACTGCTGATTCCGCTTTGGCTTGCGTCTAACTGCGAACTGACAGCAAAAAAGCTGGAGGCTATGCACATCAGCAGTTGCGGTTGCGCTGGTGGGCTTTGGGGCAGCTCGGACTCGACGCACGCTTAAAGGGGCATTTACATTGAGCTTCGGCGTGCAGATAGTTGTGTTTGACCACTTTTTCGTCGATTCGTAACGTCACAGCTTCCAGAGACCTCGAGTGGCTAGACATCGCAATGCTTTGTTCATCTCGCACAGCGCCGAGTACTGCAGTCGACGCACATGGTTGCTGCCTTTGCAAAGCTGCCTGCGATTGATCAGCAGATGAATGTTTGACCTTGGAAAGCAATGTTTGATTATAGACCAGAGCTTCAGATGCAATCGCCGAAGTTGTCGCCTTACCAGGAAGAAGGAAGAACATGGGTATTTTATCCGATGTTGCATGATTTGTTGAACGCTGTCCTGTGTGTATTCTTCAGGGCGCGGCAAGCTGTTGTGTCCCATCTGCCTAGGAACCGGGCAAGCGAACGTCAAGGGGTTGCTCCGGCGTCCAGAATCTAAGGAGTTGTTGGAGAAGATTCACAGAGGCGAGCTTCGACTAGGCTCCTAGTGCAGCTGCCGGTCCATGTCGGGGGCCTTGCCAGGATGCATTTCCGTGGGTCTGCATTGATGTCCAGGAATCAGCATAAACGGTTCAAGTTTACACATCCGTGACTTTTACAGGTAGATTCTCAACGGTCTGAGAATAATAAGGCAGACGCCACATGTGACGAGCCTTCAGTTGTCCCTCTCATCCGGAGATAGGGAGAGGACCCCATAGCTCAATTTGGTACTTCGTGTCCCTACGGCGTACCCTCAATATCAGAGGTCTGCTCAAATTTTGGAACTTTCTTTCGGCTTTCGGGTTCGGTAGGCTGCATCATTGCTCAAATTGCTCCCTGCGATGGTATCGTGGGTCGCATGTCGGCCCGGAAATATGGCCGCTTTACTCAAGTTTTTTGACGCTTCTACGATAGCTGGCGCCCACACCGCGAGCGGCTCGCGCAATAGCGCATAACTCTTGTCTGATGCCTGGTGGAAGAGGTAATTCTTTGTTAGTATGGCACAAACCCCGAGTCCGGCATGCTAGCGCTGCATAATCTGCAATGATAACTCCCGGCGCCTTGAAATCCTGTCAAGCTATCGGAAGGGTCACGTGGCGGCCTTATAGCCATGCGTACATGCTTGCGAACGAGAAACGATCAATGCAGGCGCGATCCGATTCCGTACACGGCAAGACAAACAGTTTACCGTGACCTTCATGACCTAGATAGTGCATGTCCGTTGTGAGGCCGGCCAGCCGGCCATGTGTATGCGATCGCGTGCACTAGCCGGACCGTCCGACATATGGACCTAGGGCGCACACCGCGTGATGAATCAACACCGTGTACTTGATCCACATGCGTGGCACATGATCCACACCACAATGATGCTAGCCTGGTGTTGCCATGTGATCGGACAACTGCTTGGCCCCATGTGGATCTGGCTTTCAAATTCCAATACATTGATAAGAATTATGCATGGATCGTCGAAATGCACTATAGCTCGGGCCTATCGTCTTGGTGTACCATTGCGTTTTCATTTTGACAGCGGCCCAGGAAGAGATTGATCGGACTCGGTCGCGCTCTGAATTACTTGCTAGACGTTTAAACGAGCCCGTTATTTTGTTAATCGGAGGACCTTTTTAAAATTAACACTGTTTTGGTGACGCACGAAATGTCGAATGTTCAGCGTAACGTACCTAAGATGCATATCTGAAGGAACCTGCACAGATCCCGTACTATGCAACTTTTTTTACTTTTGACTTTTTCAAAAAAAAATATAACAGTCACTCGCTCTACTTAATAGGCATGCTCTTGTATATCACCTTTCGGATTCGCAATGCTCCGCCGACCACACACCACAACATTTTTTCATCGCACTGCGCTTCTCGCGCGTGCGTCAACGCCTCTTCTCCGAGAAGAGATCCTCCCCACTATCAACAATGATCGCCTCCAAATCGTCCCCTTCTTCCACGGGGGCCACGTGGAGCTCCTCGGGAGTAGCACTCCCCCCGTCCAGAAACCCGCTCCGGTGCCCGGATGAGTTGCCGCGACTCATCCCCTGCGTAAACGACGGCTCCCGACTCAACGACATCTGCACGCCGAGCCCCGCGAGCGGCCGCAAATGCGCGCGGCTCGGCGGCCGGGGAAGAGACCGGAGCAATCCCCCCTCCTCCAAGCTCGCCCTCCGCGACGGCCCGAGCGGTGACCGGTTCATGTCCCCGACCCGTTTTCCCGAGGGCTTCCGCGACATCGTCGGCCCCCCGGGGGGCTTCCGCAAGTCCACCATGCTGCGGCGCGCTGCTTCCGGCTGTTCGAGTAGCAGCGCCTCCTTGAGTTTTGCGGCCATTTCCTTGCTCGCGGTAATGGTGGCTTCGTTCTCGCTGAGCGCGCGGCGCGTGAGTGGTTTTGGGTGGTCTTCGGGGATTGTGGCCGGGGCGTGGTGGATGTGAGTACCAAGGGGAATGAAGAGGACGCGCGAGCTGGTCTCGGCGGTGTAGCGCAGCTCGGACTTGAGCTGGACGGTGTCCAGAGGACCTGCCAAGATCAAGGGTGGTGGGATGATTGCAAGTCCAAGAGTGTGAAGATCGTGAGAACAAATCCATCAAATCCGAGGTAAGGTTCGAGCGCAGAACAGAGATGCATCGAGGGAGCTTTTGAGAAGACTCTGTTCTCGATCGACCTTGGCCAAGATGCACAGCCAAGCGGAACCACGTTCGAAGACCCGCGAGCCTTGTTGGTTTGAGACAGAGAAGTTAACGGCTCTAGTTTAGCATCCAAGGAGTTGCCCTTCTGTTTGTGCCCAGCGAAACTCAGCGCTCGAACCTTTTTAGCGTCCGAAACAGCGTTATCAAGCACGGGACCGCACAAAAGCGAGGCGCGAGAACTAGAGCGGACGCTTTACCTGCGAAAAGAGCGGACACGTCCGGAGCGAGGCCGACTGGTGCTACCAGAGTGAACCCCTTCGTATTCTTGAGACTGCCTTCGAGCAGAATCAGCACCTCCCCGTACCGGATGTTGACGGCATCTCCCTCGTCAAAGTGCTGCACGAGAGCCGGGCCGCTGTTCAGAGCTAGCAAAATCTACGCTTGCAAATTCTATACTTTTTGCGATGGAGAATGCAGAGTTGCTTCGACCATTTTAAGCTGCTCTGCAACATTATTTGACCACTTACTTTCTCAACCAGAATAGTATCCCAGTGAGACGGCAGACACAGGGATTTAGCTAAGGTGGGTCGCTGAATCTCATCTTCAGCACTCGAAGGCGAGATAGCAGGTCGCTGAGTAGTGTAGGTTTTCCTTCTCAAAAGATCTTTTAAGCGCTTGCCTCTCACGTCTGTATAGGCCCGCATTATTGACCATCATAACCGCTCATCACCGCACCCGGCTGTTCTCTCAGACAAGATGACAACTTCATATTTGCAGCCACTCGCGGCCCGTGCACCGCAACACGTCACCTTACGCCTATGCCGACGTCAGCTCACCTGGAGGCGGCTGTTCTCCATGATGATCAGGCGGATCTTTTGGAGGGTCAGGTGCTCGACTGTACGCTTCAGGACCAGTCGGCTCAAGATGACCGCGCTCTCCTGCAAAACGAAACGTTTTCGGCTTTTTCGTAACTCATTTCCCTTCGTCTCTCTACCCTGCTTCCTCAATCTTGCCTTGATTTCCGTCGACCTTAGAAAGTTTTTCAGTGGGAAAGTCCTGATATGACGGATGCCATCCTAACGCTGCAGTGATCGAGAGTCTGTAATCTCTGTCCAAGACAACTTCTACCAACAGGACGAAACTTGTGTAAGAGAGTACCGCACAAACGCTGCCCTGATTTCGTTGTATCTGTCTCGATAGAAAGTCTTAAGAAGAGAAGCCCATATACTTAGGTGCCACCCACAGACTGCACTGACTCTGTTGTACAGCGTCACAAAACCTTCTGCACACAATTCGTCGTTGGAACCCTTCTTGGTAGTACGATGATGGAACGCAGCCAAGGTTCGCTTGTGAGTCCTCACCTTCCAAAGGTACTCCGCGAGACGGACGTCGGACTTCACAATGTCGATCAATCGGTTCCTCTGCGGAGACGAGAGGAGCACGGCTTGTCATAGAGATTCTGAGTGTGGGGCAATAGCGGAGCACTTGGAAACGATTTGGAAATCCTGAAACCGTACGGATGAATTATACAGCGCAACATCCAAATCTTTGCAAAGTTGGTCGGGTACCAAGACCAGAGAAATTTTGTACATGAATATTGCCAGGCCAGACCAGAAACCTTCGGCTTAAGCACCATAAGAGCAGCTGAGTTTTAGAAACACGACTGTTTTTTGGATATACTCTGATTCCGTGGACGCAACAAGTCTGTCGAACGTACGTGCAAGGTGCAAAGCTCCGTTTGAAGCAGCTTTTGTTCCGAGGCTCTAAGACGAGCTCCATTTGCTTGTTGAGACTGGACCGAACCGCTCGATCCATTCTGAGCGCAGAGCAATGCAAGCACGTCAGAACGAGAACTCACATCTAGAACGTAGCACAGCGAGACAGAGTCCGCGACTGCGCTCGAAAGTTTCGCCCGGTTTCCCGCAAGCGCCTCGTAGAGCCCCAGGATCGAGCCGGACCCCAGAATGAAATGAGACACCGTGCGCTCCCCGTCGGCAGTATCAACGGTAATGACCTGCATACAAATAAGAGGGCTTGTGTTCACCTGTTCCACTCGAAACCGTCAGAAACGTCAGAAAGCTAGAATCCTGTGTCGCCAGAGCTTCTTGTACCACTTAGGAAACGGCAATTTAATCCGTCTAGCCGGTTGACGTGACGCGATCACTCCTCTCTGCAGCTTCTGCAGATGGCAGCAAAGAAGGCGATGGGACTCTGACGATTCACGCGCAAGTGGGTGGCCTGCTACAAGGCTAATCTCACTTCAATCACCCCGCCACAAACTCAGTAACCGCACCGTTATTGCTCAAAAAATCAGCTGTAGATACAAGCTGGTAACCCCCACGGGTCCCCTCACCTTCGCTAACCCGGTTCCGACTATGTACACTTCCTGCCCCACCGACCCTTCCTTATACAGCACCGCATTTCTAAGATACGTCCGCTCTCTCGCGTCTCGCCGCACGATCTGTTCAAAGTGTTCGGGGACGTGCTTTCCAAGGGGAGTGCTTCGCAGGATGCCCATTGCATGCTGCGGCCGAATCAGAAGAGGCGCCCGCCGCAGCTTCTTGAGGTCTTTTTGAACCACGTCATGTAGGTGGACGATCTCGCGCGTGTCGATGAGGCCCGCCTCGTCTAGTTCCTCGACGTACGTGGTCAACTGCGAGTGGTCAAGATTCGTGTGACTCAAGCTTTTGTACTCTCTTCGTTCAAACGAGGAGGGTGAAAACCTCATTCGGAAAAACAGTCCGAGACTACTTTATACCACGTCGGAGAGATACACGATGTTGCGCACGTCGATGAGGCTCGTCTAGTTCCTGGACGAACTGCGCGTGGTGAATGTTTTCTCATCTTCCAGTGCAGCCATGGGGGCGAGCCCCTAGATAAAGAATTGCTGAAATGCAAGAGAGTGATGAGCTTCAAATATCTGGATTCTCCATCGCACCAACTGGGTAGAAGATCATTTGGCAGAGAACTTCGAAGTCCTTCTGCTCCGCAGCGTTTTTAGATAAAGAATTCCACAACCAACATTAATGCGAGCCTCGTCAAGCTCTTTTGGTATACTGCAGGGAAAATGGATCATAGCGTCGAACATCTCAAGTATTGTAGTCTGATGCAAAAGCAGCAGATTGAACGTAAAGCAAAAGCTACGAATTTTGGTTTTCGAGTCCTAAAAGTTCGCGGTAAGCAGAAACAAGCAAAGGGGCAGACATATACTTAAAACTTCGAAGCGGCGTAAGTTCCTCAGTGCAATGGAGAAGAAGGCAAGCGCTTCTGAAACGCGAACTTGTCTGAGAATCACGACACAACGCAAATCAGCTATTCTCCTCCTGACGCCGCAATTGCCTTGGCTGCACAAAAACCTCAGCGAGCCTAGTGGATTTTGAGGTGATTGTGCGACTTCTTATACAGGTACTCTCCAACTCAGCCCCGTTTAAACAAAGACGATCTAGCGTGACACGAAAGCCGTCTGTCTGATCGCGTAGTAAAGTCTCTTCCAGGTCAAGAGTCTCTGCAGCTAAGAAACTCAATAGAGATGTCAGAGCAATTCACCAGACCTTCTTGATAGCAATTTGCTCATGCTTTCTTTGAACGGCTTTGAAGAGATCGACGGTGGAGACGGGTGGCCGTACCTCACGAAGCACGTGGAATGCCACCTGCTGCGTCTTGACTGACGTCAGCACCTGCGGGAACGACATGCCGACGTCATCCAGGAACGCGCGCGCCTGCGCCTCGTCCTTAAGGCTCTCACGGATGACCTCATCGGCCAATTCGTTGTTGCCCAAAAAGTCGCGCAGCTGCAATCTGCATGGGAATCAGATTTTCAGCTTAGCTGAACCAGTTTGTAGAAATAATCTGTTTTGAGTAGCCGTTTCACACCTTCGCCCTTTCGTCGGCCAGGTCGTCATTGCCTTGCGGTTTACGCGGCTGGCAAGCAGATTTGAGATTCACTTGAACAGGACGCATGAAGAATCAGATATGCCGAACGCTCGCGCGTTCCGTTTGACGGATCACTCCGTTTGCCGTGGTCGTGATCGACTACGAACTCGCTCAACGGCGCCATCAATGTCCGGGTCAACTAAACCATCCTACAACAAAGACAACTCGACAATCAAATATAGGCGGAAGCCCAATCTCCTGACCAGAGAGGCGGCTCGGGCCTCTTAACTCGCACCCAAGATGTTCGTTTCGACGAAAAGTTCGATACTTCCAACAAAGGCGGGAAGCTGAGTCTATCGTCAATACCCGCAAAGTTCGCACGCAGACTGACCGTGCAACACCTTGGGAGCGAGGATAAGGTACCCGAGCTGGTCAGTTGAGGATAACTCATTTCAGTTGACCACCAAACAGCTGTGTGCTTACATACCTGGCCTGATGGTGCGCCCTCAGGCATCCGGCCGCCACTGAGCATCCCCAAACCAGGTCTTTGTTCGCTCAAATATTAGCTTTGACGAGAACTTAACGAATTTTCGATGGGCTTTTCCAAGAATAAGCCGAGTTCTAACGAGAAAACATACAACCCGCTAACCTGGCCTGATGGTGCGTCCTTAAACAATCAGCCGCCATCGAGCATCCCATTCGGTTGAAACCCCTTGGATAATTGGCTAGCCAAAACATGCTGCGCTGTAAATACAGCAAACCAAGTTTCGACGAAAAAACTCATGGGAACCCGCTTACCTAGCCTGGTGATGCGCCCTCAGATAACCAGCCGCCATCGAGCATCCCCGCTCCAAAGAGCCCACCACTAAGCTATTCACCAGAGTGTTCGGCGAGCACTGGTTCAACCCTCGCTGGATCATTTTGAGCCACGTGGGCAGTTTCATGTAGGGTTTGAGCTCGTCCCAATCGCCGAGCTCCGTTTCGTCGTCGAGACCGCGGTCGACGGACTGGATTAACAGGATCGCTTCGTATTGGGAGAGGCGGTCCTGGTCGAGAAGGTCCCAGTACGCGGCTTGCACGCCTGCACGGTTAGAATAAGGGTTTGAACTCAAACCAGGTAATCTAATCAGGTTAAAGAGGGTTTCGCAATGGGACAGGCGGTCCTGGTCGAGAAGGTCCCAGTACGCGGCTTGCACGCCTGCACGGTTAAGATACGGGTTTTGATTCAAACCATGTCTCGTTCCCGGTTAAGGAACCTTTCGTATCGGAAGAGGAGGTCGCAATATGCGGCTTGGACGCCTGCACGGTTAAACTAAGGGTTTGCATTCAGAACCATGTACGTGAATTCTGACTAAGAACGATTTCGTACTGAGGGAGGCGCTTCTGGTCGAGCAGGTCGTCGTACGCAGCTTTGGAAGCCTGCGTGGTTGACATAAGGGTTTGAAATCAGAACCATGTATGTTAAACATGTTTAACAAGGGTTTTCGTAATGAGAGAGGCGGTCCTTGTCGAGCAGGTCCCAGTACGCGGCTTGAACACATGCAGGGTTTGAAAGCAGGGACGTAGGCTTGGAAAACTCCACTCAATTCTAGTTTCAAAAAGGGATCTGGATTCGCTATCGATCTGGAGGAAAGGAGAACAATCCGTATTACTACAATCTTGTCAAAGCAGCTTATGCTCAGGACTTCGAGACCAATCCTTCCAAGTCCTGAACGAGCGTGTGCACCTTTCCTAGTTGCCAAAAAAATGCAACGCACAATCAAGACAAATTCACAGCTATACAGTGTCTGGCTTCCTTGATCAGCTGTTGGTAACTGCAACACTCCGACATTGCATACCAGCGAGCTACTCGGAAAGGCCTTCTCGTCAGGAACAATCAAGCAGAGTTTGCGCTTATGACGTCACCTCGCAAGAAGCGGACCCGCGCATCCCGCATCCTCATCCTGCGCATCTCGTCCGTTTGGTCAGTCAGAACGCCGCCGAACGGGTTCGCAACCTCAGGGAACTCTTCCTTTCTGCAAAAAGGACGCGTAATGTCAGAGTCAGCAATCAGCGGTCTAATACCTACTGCTCCCACACGGCCAACCTGAGCAAAGATTGTTTCTATGGGTAGTCAAACGACACAAACGAAGTTGGAGTAAAAGGGCAAGCCAAGCCTTTGTTGGGTGCCCCACCGGCAAGGACGAACGTTCTTGTAGAGCAAATTCTCACAGGAACGCGGGGTCTTGAGTAAATCGCACAACGGTTCTGGAGGGCTTCTTGTCAGACCCAGCATATCGGCCCGAGTTCGAGCAGCCGTTCCAAAATGCATATTTTCCGTTCATTAGTGCCACCGCTTCCCGCTTCTCGAGTCGCCACGGAACATTGGGACCACCCACCATGCATATGCCGCAATACCCTTCGGAATCGTAACCCCTCCTAATGCACAGTCCAGCCCCTAATCCAATTCTTCCCGGCTCTCGAGCCTCCACAATACGCGGAATCAACCACTATCTGTGTTTCACTGCACCCCTTAAAAGTAGGAACTCTGAGCGGTGCGCCCAAGATGCTCATCGTAGATAGGTGACGAGCTTTTGCACGGACGGCCAGTGCGCGGGCCCCAGCTCTCAGCGCGTCCGAATGAAAGTGCGGCCTTACGTCCGATTCCCCTTTTGACTGCCAAATCTTCCCGGCTATATCTTTCCCCACGCTGAGTTGCACGAACGACCACTCTGTTTTTCATTGCACGCCCTGAAACGAAGGAAAATGAGCGGTGCGCTACAAATTCTCACCGAAGGTACGTGACAAGCTTTTGCACGGACGGCCAGTGCGCGGGCCCCAGCTCCTCGTCGTCCTCCCCGACCTCCACGTACGACTGCACCGCGCGGTCGTGCATCTCGCGCTTGGCGTACTCCAAGATGCGCAACTGTAAAATATGACAAAGTGTGGTTACACGACGTTCTCAAATGCCAAAATAAAGGCAGATATATCCACGAAACGTCCTTAGATGGACAATAAAGGCAACAATGAAGGCCCTGAGGTCAACGAAGTGATCAGCCCTGAGCTACTGACAGGAGCTATTGCCGCACTGTTTGCTCGAAACCACGCTCTAGGTTGCTAACCCATTCCACTCCTTGTCTCGACAGCAAACAAAGCGCAACTCGCCGATTAGGTACGCAGCATGTGAGATCCGAAGCTTGCATGAGAACAAAAGGTATCGCTTTCAAATAAGGGGCTGATAAACCGGTGGCAGCTTAAACATCAACCATCCCATCTTCAATCAAGAATAGATTAAGAGTGTCATTCCTGACCCTGTCAAGCATCATTCGTCCGCTTCTGAGAAACCAACCCCTGTTGTCACCTCCGAATCAGTCAGCTTGTAGCGCTTCAGAGGGACAGAAGGTGCGGTTTTACCCTATATCCCGTCAGCTTGGCGCAACCGCCACTTCGGGGACATACGATGTTGCTTGTCTTGAACCAGAATGAAGAACGGTGAACAAAGTTACCTTCGATTCCGTCATCTTATCCATTCGGAGCAGTGAAAGCAGCTTCTTCGTCGTGCTGCCGTTGATCACCAGCGTGAGGAACACAACGCCCCCGGTGAAGAACAGAACCTGCGAATATGAAGTCTCCAGTCAACCACCGCTGTGCGATCAGTGTCGATGGCCGTAAGATTGGTGTCAACCAGTCAAAGCTAGTACCAATGAGCGAGTAGGAGCTCGTAGGTGGAGCTGGGGAATGCAGGAGAATCGCATCGGATTCCTTGGTCACAATTTGAATCCGGTACACGACGGAAACGACCCTTCTTTTGTAAAGCGCAGGCAAGGATCTCAATTCACGTCTTTGTAAATGCATCCGAAGTTTCATCACGTACAAACCATGCTTTCTGACACGACAACTGCTGCAAACAATGATATGGCTGAAAAGCTGAACACTCAGATTCAAAGGTTGATTTAGTGAGGTACTAACCCTGGCCTGGTTCTTGGGCGTGACTCCATGGGGTTTGCCATTCGCGTCGATGACAACATCGTAGTTCCTCTGAAAAAGCACGAAGAAGAAATATTCAAGCTGAGCAGAAGCGTGCTACTCTGCCAACAACGGTGAAGCAGCAATTAACACAGGCAATCCACAAGGAGCATAACAATCGATCGTCCTGTTGTTCAGTTGCACTTTGAAGGAAACCAATATCAACGAACATTCGTGCACATACTCGATGCAAGCCAACCAGAGACTCTTACGTTCCACTTCTGGCCCTCCTTTTCCACAAAGATGGTCTGCTGCGACACGAAAGGCCTTGGGATGTCCCTTCTGCGCCAGTGCATTCATCTTGGTGAGTTACCTTGGTGTATTCTAGAACAGTTCAACGCACAACAACACTTGTTGAGTGCTTACGTCAATGGTAAGGGCCAACGTCAGAGCAACGGCGCCGCGGAGGCCCGCCCACGTCATCACGCTCGCCTGCGATGGGTCCATGGAAAAAGTGTTCGCATCACCCCATTGCCGTTGGAACTGTTCTTCCTTGAGTAGAGGAGCCTCGACGTGCTCTAACGTAGGGCCTTTTGTCAATCTGATGAGCGGACCTCAGTGTTACAGCGGCAGAGCAGCAAAACTGTGTTGCTCGAGATGGGAGCTTGACAACAACGGACGCGACAGGTCACGTTGGCTTTCAAGCAAAGCGACGCTGGCAAGAAAAGTCGGCTCTGGATAATAAATGCTTCAAGGCCAGCGTCCTGACGATTAGCCTACCTGATTAGCCTACCTGATTAGCCTACCTGATGAGGGAAACCTTTGGTTTGCAACTTAGGGGGACACGGGTTTTAACCGAAAGAAAGCGATACAAGTTCTGCGTACAGCCATTATCCGCTATGGCAGCACTGGGCGTGTGAACAACCGGACCTGGAAACGTCTCTGGTTACGACAAAGAAACAAGTGATAGACGGCAGCGCAAGTTGGTCTTGTACTGCCCGAAACTGATGGGGCTCGGGACCTCTTAGAAATCGTAGGACTTGCCGATTGCCACGTCCTCTGGCCTCAATGTCCTATCCATAACACTCTCAAGACTCTGCGCTCAAGCCCATGAAGCGAGCAAAGTTAGGTTGAGCAACAATTGTGGTGGCGTCCACTCAAAAACGAGTTCGGACGATTACTGCTTTCTTTCTAGTTAAGCCATGCGAGTTAGGAGAGGGTAGCAAGCCCCCACGACCACCCGCCGCGCCAGCCTAATCATGCCGTTTCATTTCCAAAACGATCGCTCACCTCTTTCCAGTTAAGCCCATAACCCATGCGGGTTAGGAGAGGGTAGCAAGCCCCCACGACCACGGCGCGCGCCAGCTGTACAAAAACGTAGAGCAGAATGAGGTAGCCCCAGTCGCGCCCCTCAATGCTGGCCGTGCTGCGGAGAATCGCCTCCGCGATGATGACACCGCTGCACGCACAGCGTACAACTGGTGAGTCGTGCAATTGGACGCACTTTTTGGCTCAGTGCAAAGGGCAACAATGCATGATGAATTAACTAGAGGAGCTAATTGCGAGAAATCGGATTCTGTACGGCAGTGGCAAAAAAGTCGGCTCCGGGTGCAAGGTGATGATGCGGTTAGTGACATTTGAAAGCTTGATGTCGACCTGCCGGACATGCAAAGCTTGATGTCCAGGCTCACTCACACGCTAAAACGTCGGCCAGTAGGACATGATTCAAGCGAAAGATAGGAAGCTAAACAAGAACCAGAACAAGAGTCGTAAGACCAATGGCAGGGCGCAGAACGGGGCTGCAAGAGAAGCAAACAGAGGTCACGAAACCGAGCACGGGTGACACGACAAAGCAATGATAAGGAGTGCGACAAACCTGAGAATGAAGATGAGAGTGTTCGCCATGTATGCCACCATCTCCCAGAAGTAATGCAGACTCTTCTTGTTCTCGCCCGTAAAGGCGGTATTGGCGAAGGCGGCAAACGTGCTGCATGGAAACAATGCAAGTCAGCAGAGTTCACCCCCGACGAAGGAGCACCCTCTTCTTTTTCCATCGGCAGGCAACAGCAATATTTGCCTTGCGAGCGCTAAGTGGGAGTCATCTCCCACAAGGTCTTTCAACCCAAGAAGCTGTTTTTTGATCCAGGGACCTGTTAGGAGTCTGAAATTGACGGGAAGATGTGTCCCCAAGACGCTAAACGCGACTATTGCAACCTAAATGCAAGAGCGATCACCAGCAAGAAAGGTAGGCTCTGGCTCTACTAAGGTGGCCTTTCTTCTTTGGGGGCTTCCAGCAATTCATATAGAGGTTGGCTAAGCGGCTTTGTTTTTCCGTCTTTTCCTTATATATCAGTGTTTTGAAGAAGCGCAGAAAAAACTTAGGATGCCAGGTTGGCTCCTCCGCTCGCCTAAGCTCAGCTCCGCGTCAGCTGAAAACGTGAACGTTCACTTACATGCCCAGGAATAGGACAGCGATGACACCGGATAGCTCGGCCTTGTCTTCACACTGCAAAAAGAAGGAGTCAAGTGTGAAACAAAAAATCATCTTTGATGGCGGACCTTCCATAGAACAGGGCTCACATCTTCTCATACAATAGTAAGCATTGCTCACATAAGGTGCCTTCTGAAGCATTCAGGGTATCATGAAGGACCACCCGTTGCTTTGCTCTCAGGTCACTCATGTACGCTTCAAACGACGCGTCCTAATCTGGTCAGGTCTGGAATAGCAGCGGCCCGGCGTTCTTACCACGAAGTAGACCATGTATGCTGACGTCAGCGTGATGGTAATCTCGATGAGCGTGTCGTTGAATACGAAGCCGAGCCACAAAACAGCGGCCAGCCCAAACCCGATGCCAATGGCAATCCTGAAGAAAAAGGAGTGCTGTCAGGACGGGTCCGGGTCGCACACATTATGTCACGTCGTGAGGGGTTCGTTAGGACGTTCGACAGATGAAAGCTGCGTCAGAATCGGAGGTTTTTGGAGAGCACAGATGACAAACGAAACTGAGTTTTGGCCCTTCGCCTTCAATACCCTTCCCCAAAACATCAAGGTTAGGAGAAGGCGCTTTGGCGAGCGGAAAGAGAAACAGGAAATGGTTAAAAGCAGAAACATGTTTCTCTGGAACACATACGTTTTTCTTCGGCTGAAAGCGTCAATTGCACGTCTGCTTCCATCTGGGAACGCGAAGACTGCAAACTGTAAGCGGGGTGTCTCGAGGCATCTGCCGCCCCACCGTCCACCTTGAGCGGGCGGTGACCTCAACCAGACAGAAAGTCGATTGCAACTTCGACGAGTACTTTGAGGAGGGCAGAGGTGCTCACCCGCCCCCCGCGACGCGCAGGAAGTACACAATGGTATTTCCAAAGTTGAAGGCGCTTCCTTCGACTATCCGGTAGAAGAGGCGGAACACGACGATGGCCGTCCTGCAACGAGAAGGAGCGTCGTGCTGAGATGCTCGAAGTCGTTAATTTGATTTGGAATGCGTGAACTGAGCTCCCACTTTGGTCAGGGGCCAGATCCGCTGCATATGCGCGCTTGACAGGGTTTTTGACCCGCACAGAGGACTTTATTGACGGATTCAAGCAATCAGCGTGGGTCCCTTTCGACTAAACCTCGCTCAAGAGAACCACACGGCTTTATTCTGCCTGCGAAGGGGCATATGCAGCCGAAACGCGGTGGTTTGCAAGAATACCCTCCGAACCCGTGAATAAGTAAACCCAGTGCTAGATCTAATTAAAACTTAGACGGCATCGCTGACCTCAACCCGTTGATGAAAATCTGTCCGTACACCTGTCGATCGGGTCAAATAGCCCCATAACAGACGGACGTACACAAAGCGAAAGCAAAACCTCTATCGGTAGCCTTCGAATACGATGCCGCGGTACTGTATGAAATCACCCATCATTTGCACCCAACTTCCGACGACTCACGCAGCAGTCAAGACGAGATCAAGCAAGCACGATGACAAACTCGTCGTTTTGAACATCATCGCAACTTTCTCGGATCACTGAAGCGCTCGGTGCAGAGAAATAGTGAGAGCCAACGAGTCTCTGTGACGTTTGTATACGCACCCGTCGTTCATAAGCGACTCCCCCTCAATGATGGTGCTCAGTTTCTTGCTGGCCCCCAGTTCCCTCAAAAGCGCCACCACGGCGACCGGGTCGGTTGCGCTCAGCAGACTGCCCAACGTTAGGGACAGGCTCCAACTCCACGAATAGGGGAACGCGTACTGCACCAGGATATATTGCGGACTTTTACTCAACAATCACAGAAAGGAAGCACGTTTGTGATAAGAATTGCGTTTTGTAACAACTCGTTGGGGGACAAAGACGGCGTGAGCTTGAATGCACCTAGAACTTGCGAACCATGGCAGAAATGGTTTTCGAGGCCGCTCTTTGACAACCCCCAAGAATCCATGCTCAGATTCGGCACAGAAGAACGTAGGAATAAGGAAAGAGGACCTTGTTGCTTTGGTGAGATTGACACTCAAATCATCAAGCGCAAGCACTTTATTCGAAGGTGATTTGATTAACAAGAACAGTAAGTGCTCGTAGACAAGTTACAATAGAGCTGGAGAAAAACTTTGAAATAGAGAGCTTCGGTTTATTATGCCCACCTTGAGCAAGGCTCCCAGAATGAAGGTGTTGATGAGGACTCCCGGTGCTGCTAGCAGGGCCATTTGCCAGATGCATTTCTGCACAAAAACAGAACCACGTGCTCAGGCAAGAGCTAAATTCAGCTGTTGAATGTTGTTGTCAAAGTCGGACACCATTGCTCTGAACAGATATCTCCCTAAGTTCACTATCAACGACTTTCCCAACGCCTGACATGTAAACTTGCAAAACGCCAGGTAGCTGGGGCTCCTTTCCAGACGCCTCGCATCTAGACTTCCAAAACACGAGGTGGCTAGTGTTGAACAGATTCCAGTCAAAACAGAGGTAGGTCATTCTTAGAAGTCCAAAGGGAAGTACAGTAGGCAATCTAAGTTCGCCATGTAAGCTGCAACCAAGATGAGCCGTTCCTCTAGCCAGCCCTTACTTTTCAAGAGGGGAAGAGCGATCAAAGTACTGTACGATGCTTCACCGAAACCATGTACGACGCATTCGAGAAATCTAGGAAGTATGTGGAGGCGCAGGAGTAGCGCCAAAAGCATAGAGATCAACCAAACACAGACCAGATCTGTTCAACTGCCCATGAGATCTTACCCTGACTTGGTGGATCTCCAGGGACATAGAGCTCTCGAACAGCAGCGCCGGAAGGAATATAAACAGAATCAGGCTTGGCTCAATGTTGGCCCCTGTGCCAACAGAACAGTGTTAGCATTCGGGTCCTTATCCTGCTGCCAGTCGCTTAGAGTTTGTTTCTCTGAGTTCGTTAAGCTTGCCGAGAAGGCTGGCTGGTCCTCCAAACGTTTCGTAAAAGCTGTACTGAGTTATCATAGTTGATCCCGCTTCCTCACGGCTGGGTGGTTCTCCGACCATTGCAGCTTGAACAAATCGCTGAAAAGGGTTGAGCAATTAGCAAACCACTGTCAGATTCGAATGCAGTTCACCTGAATTCACCTCTATGTTGGGGGGCAAAAGGATAAGGCCAAGCGCAGAAGATTCACGCATCTGGATGCTTTCTACCCAAATTACCAAGTCCATCTTTATGTGGCAGGGGGAATGGATAAGGGCAAGCGCAGAATACTCACACATCTGGATGCTTTCTCCCAGAGTACCAAGTCCATCATGTGCATTCTCATCTGCAAAAAGAGGGAAGACAAAGCAGTGAGCCCACAAACTCCTAACCAATGCTGGTTGGTCTATTTCAGGCCGACGGAGCGAATATTCCGCATCCTGACTTCGCCGAACACCAGACTAGATGAAATGTGGAATCTGGGAGCCCCTTGTCAACATTGTTGGGCGATGGACAGAAAACATATGCGGGCCGCTCTTGCCAGAGCCGTTATTGGGAATACAAGCAAACATTTTTGTTGCAAGCTATGCTTGTATTTGATTGTACGCATAAAATCCTCCGCGCTCTCTCTTATCCACAGTCCCATCTATCTTGCCCATGGTCCAAACAGTAGAGCTAGCAGAACGAGTTCGACATGAATCTTGTGAGCGGACTGGTGTTTATGTCATCAGGTTGGGGCACCTCTAGTCCTTGAGCTGCATTGCATGCCAGCCGGTTGGAAAGCTCAAGCTTTTAGAATTTGGATCTACAATCGGCACACAAATTTGGGGACTCCAGCATTCTGAAGATCTCGCTGGCCAGACCTGAACAACCACTTCACAATTGCGTTGTTTCCCGACTTGAGTTGACTGGGGAGGTCCAGCGCGGGAGGGCAGAGTCAAGAGCATTTAATGTTCAAGGGAGCTTCCAAAATAATGTAAGAGAAAACTGAGTGGGGAACGGAGACACCCACCAATGGTCCCGAGAATGATGCCAATGATGAGAAGGGCGACAGTGTACGGCACGGGCGTTCTGGCAAACACCTGCTTGCAGAGCGCGCCCAAGATCAGGGCCAACCCAAAAAAGAGGATCGCAACCTCCGGCTTAGGATACGCCTCTTCTTCTGTTAAGGACGAGGTGGCGGTGGTGTTCATTTCCATCTTGTGCTCCTACAGAGCCCCCCCAGATATTCCAAATGAATTCCCCAACATGCGAGCGGAGTGAATGCAGACCCAACTAAAGACACTGAGGTCGAGCGAAGGGCGCAGAGCGGCAAGATTTACATTTGAGCAAGCTCGACAAGCTTTTAACCCTCCTCTCCAAAGTTAGGTACTGCGTGAGAGAGATGCTAAGGGAGTAACTTTAAGGGAGTTAGGGAGTGGTGAAGGGACGGTGAGGGAACCAATTTCCAAACATGCACCTTGAAGACTGGCCGCAGTGGGTGAAGAGTAATAAAGCTGGTCAAAAAGACCAGCTCGTCGGCCGTATAAAAATACAAGAAAACAGACGCAGATTGAACCCAACCTCAGCTATAAAATCACGGGCAAAACCGCCCTTTTAAAACTCACCGCGACCCTGCCGCGACCGCGGCGCGGTCGGGCCCTGTCCACATGTACTCGATCAGGACAGTTGATGCTTGAGCAGAGACTTTTCCGAACGGAAATCGACTCTTCTTGGCCAGTTTGGCGCTTGCATTGTTGCAGAGAGCAGTGGGAGGGTGCATTGAATCAATCCAGCGGACTGCAAAGACAGCATATGGAAGAAGAGGCTGGAGAGGATGGGGCACACAATGAAGGAGGAAGTTCAGGCGGCCTTGAAGAGGAAGGCGGCTGGGATGACGATGGCCAAAGGAGGCCGCGGCGCTCAGCTTTCACTCAGTCTGGGGAACTCGATGATGATGAGATTGAGGAAGTCTTGGAGATGTTCAGCTTCGATGAGCTGAAGCACCGCAAGGCAGTCTATGTAGAGGCTGTGAAAAGGAAAGAGGCCACAGAAAGAGAGGGTGCTGGAAATGAGAGTGAAGCTGACGAGATGCAGAGGGCTCGGAGCCAGCGTGGCAGGCCAGGACGGGTTTTGTCCAGTGCTGAGAAGCGGAAGAGGTCGTTAGCAGCAGAGCAGCAGATTCTAAAGCTCTTCCAACGGATGACCAACAAATACGGCGTCACAGCATGGGTTTTTGGGTATACAACCAGCATTGGGAAGCCGCGCATAGGGGCTGCGGAGAGTGTGCAGCCCTGGTGGGTCCTAGGGAAAGTGTATGAGGTGAATGCAATCAGAGCACATGTTGCGGGCCGCGGGGACCTACAACAGGAGATCAACCGCTTGGAGGGGAGCGCACTAGATGAGCTGCTCCAAAAGCTCAACGGGCCGCAGCTCCACTCGCTGGCAGCGTTTTGGTTTCCAAAATGCAGTCCTTCTATCCGGAAGTTCCCCCTAAGCGGAGAGAAGGGCAGTCCTCCCTGGTGGCCAGCAGAATCACGCCCGTAAGGTCTCGTTAATGAAGAATGAACCCCTGCGGGAGGTGACGCTTGCAGCCCTTCAGAACATCTGCGTCTCAGGCCAGAGCTCAGCAGCCACAACGTCAAAGCTTGAGGAGGTTTTTACAACCTGCAAGGTGCTCCGCAGCGAGTCCGCGCGTGTCCGGGCCATTGTACATAGCGTCATCAACCGGTCGACTGCCCTATGGCCACCTCAGCAGGATTCTGCCACCACGGGTAAGCCTAATAATTACTAAGCTGAACCACCAGAAAGTGCGCCTGGCTGATTGCAAGTGCAAGTTGCTGTTGCGTACAAGTTGATCTGGAAGGGTTTCAGCATGGCCATAGTCTCTCTGTGGTACGTCAGCAGATTGGCAAGAAGAAAGTTCTAAGTATATTTTAAATTCTACTTCCTCTTCTTCTTATGTTTCTTACATAAAAGGAAGTATTCAACCTCAGTTGTCTTCTTGTGGCAGGACTTTGCCTTCTGTCCTGATGCCTATCAGTATCTAGTGTGTGTTGGACTAGGTTCAGAGGATCTGGCGAGATCCATTCACAATATGGGACTTGTTACAGATTCTGCTGTTCGCGAATTGATCGGTTAAGTCATAAAATTCTGAGATTGTTGCATGGAGACATTGTACAGCTAGTGCACTGGAGAGATCGTTGGTGAGTCGGAGTGCAGCAAAGTGGAAACCTCGTCCAGTCTTTGCTTGAGCACAATTTGAAATGCATGACTTCATGGACTAGTAATGCATCTCGATGTTGCTCGCAGGCGCTGAAGAGGCGGGGTTAAGTGGACCAGAGGGGGGACAGGAGGGAGCCACCAACGCCGACCCTCATGAAGCTGTGGGCACCGAAGGTGAGGTGATCTACTTGGGCAGTCTGGTCTCAGCACGATGGTAACGTCTTTCCCTTATCAAGGGCGTACACTAGTTTTACTTGGGTGGGTCCTCTGGTTTTTGTGGCTCGTTGACTTTGAAAGCTTTGGGCGCCACAGGCCTTACCGATCAGCTGATAGTAACCAGGATCTGCGAGCTTAAGCCAGCGGGGAATCGCTGTACTGCCCTGCAAACCTCCAAGCTAATGCGCCGGCTTCAACATAAAGCTCGAGGCTTCGAATGTTCCTACTTGGGCAGCCATGATACGGTTGAAGCTCGAGGCTACATTCCTACTTGGGCAGCCACAATACGTTTGTGATCCTAATGATCCTTCTCACATCCGCAGGTGTCCAGGGCCGTCGGAAGCGGCGACGACGGTGCGATATCACCGAGTACCCGTTCAAGTGCACGGCAGCTGGCTGTGAGGGGCATCGTGGGTTCGTTTCCGCTGGGGGATTGGCGAACCACCGCCGAGCCAATCACCCCGGTGCTTCTCGGGGTGCCACTGAGGGGACAACTGCTGGTGGCGGCTTGGGCGGAGCGGAGGATGCTGCGGCGTCTGCTGAAGGGGGACAGCCACCCGTAGAAGAAGGTGAGAGGTTTCTTTTGGCACGACAAATCTTGACTTCGTTTGAACAGATTCACACAAAGTCAAAGGTTGTACTGTCGCCGATCAGTGTTTTGCGTCTCCCTCTCTTGGAACATATTGAAGGCTCACTTGCGGACCTGTCGACCTTGTTGTCTCCCAACATGAGATATTCCCATGTGGCGAACGTCCAGATTTGAGTTTGCTTGGATGCAAGCGACTGAAAAGCAACCACAGGAGTTATCCTGAGTCTCTTTCTGTTGGTGCAACTCTTTCAACGACAACCGTTCTGTATACTCAAGCTGACTTTGTGACAACAACTTGACTTTCAACGTGGAGTGTCTGTGGGCTTCTTGCCCCCATGCTCGTGACTCTGCTTTCTTAGAAGAAACATGGCTTTGACGCGTTTCGCTTGACACGGCGTCGAACGTCTTCAAAGCCTGCAATACATTTTCACAGATCCTTGAACGGTATGATTAAGCTCGAAATTGTCATAAGCCAATTGCCGCATCATTCAGAATTTACCGACACCTCCCGGTTCGTACTTGGAGCGAGTTTCAAACGAGCGTGTTCAATTCCCGCAATTTTATTTCAACGAGACTTCCCACCGAGTCTCCATCAAGCGCTTGCACAAGTGCTCTGTTTTGTCCTCAGAAGCTCGACTTCGAGGCTCGAGCCGACCCTTCCCCATTTGTGAATCCTCAAGAGGTGTCAACCATTTGATCAGCTCCGGAAGTGTAGCTACCGTCCGCGCTGATTGAGCGCTTTTGTATGATCTAACCCTGAAACTATTCAAGTAAGACGGCTGTCAGCTTTCTAGGGTCACAGCATTCCCTTTCGTTCCGATTAAAAACATAAGGGCAAAAAGGTTCTAGTTTCGTCCATGTTCGTAACATACGGCGGTTCATTCAGGAACATCTCAGCCGTACGTACCGTTTTGTTGCTCTTTGCAATCCCCTCTAACAACTAGATGTGCGAATCTTTCTTCAGATCCACAAGCTCGACCATCCTTCGGAGAGGCGCGCAGCGACAATGAAGGTGGTCCAAGAACCGAGAGTGAGTGCGGCGTTTTCAGCATCGTACATTGAATGCCTATCCGTTTGAAATTAGAATTCTTCAGATCAGGGTGCGACAAAGACTTGAATTCGACAATTGTTTTCCAGTTCGAGGTTTATTTCGGGGTAGGTGAGGTCGACCGGCAAATCGTAGTGGCTTCTCGTCCTTCTTGAACAACGAAGCGAGTCATGTGACGGGCTGGCTTTGCCGATGGACAGTGTCCAGTTCACAGAATCTGCGTCGAGTGGTCAAGCAGTAGGATAATGACCCTTTCGATTGGCACGCTCTCAATCCCCAAACGTTCAACGGCCATTCACTTCTCAAGTTTGTCCAATCCGTCGTTCTTACCCCACCTTCTTATCTACTTCAAGTTTCAAAATCTGCATAATAACAGAGAAGGCAGCTAGACTTGTGAATTCTGTAGACGCATGTGTGCCACGTGTCACAAGTATGTTCGAGGTGGTGCGTGGAATTCCTCGGATCTTGGTAAAGGTATCAAACTTCCGCTCGTGCTAACTCAATCATTCCAGCCAATCCAGTTCTTTGATCCTTTTTGTTTTCTGTTGACGTACCTGGTTGGCTGCTCTTAAATGTTCAGTCCCTGGTTAGGAGCAATTATTCAGTCAGCGAAAGACCGAGTCCATTGGACGGTCGGCTCGGTGCTTATCTCACTCGCATGCCGTGGTAGGCTTTCTGTCTTGAAGGTACAGCCATGTTTTTGTTCCTTCAAGTAGTTAGGCAGACTTTGGGGTGCCGTATTCTTTTCTGACCACCTCATCCACCAAGTCAGAATTTGAGGTGCATGAGTCGCGTTGGACTGAACAATACATGTTGTCTGCTGCAGGTGCAGGTCACAATCAGCCCGCCAACGAAAGCGGCGGGGGCCGCGCGTCCCGGTCTGACGACCCCGCGACGGTCCACTTCGCGGCTACCGAAGGGGATCCTAGAAGAGCTAGTTCTCCGTCGGACCCCCCGCCGACGCTGTACAGACGGAGGAGGAAGGCTTCTTTCCCAACGTGGAAGACAGTGCGACGAACGGCGGGGACAAGGAAGGGGCCAAGAGAAGTTTGAAGAGATCCGGAGGAGGGTGAAAAGTGCTTCGAGCCCCTCGCTTGATGGGATGAAGGACAACCATGGCTACGTTTTTATAGCACATCAGACGGGTAATAGAAAAGGGGAGTTTATGTGTGTCCACTACGCCCCTCATCGGATGCTAGATGCCATTGGTCAGAAGTGTGGCCTCAATCTTGCAGGCTTGAGCTTGGACGACAAAAGAGCTGCCGTAGACAATCTTTATTGGACGAGGTACTACGATGAACTGATTGACAATCGAAGAACCGAATGAGGTACAATCTAAGCAATTGGGCGCACTGCTGGCAACAATCTGAAGATAGATGAATGATGCTGGCGTCAAGGATACAAGTTTGGCATGCACGATTGAAGCATGTTGTACATAGACAACGAGTCACAGTTCATGATATAACTTGCCGTACAATGGAACCGGTCTTCATTTCGGTTTTGGTCATGACTTGCATGGCACGCGGCGGCAACAGCAAGCGACTCCCTAAGTTGGTGTGAATAGACCGGGATTCCCGAATGGGGCGACGGTGCGCGCGCACAGATGAATCTAGATTCAAGTTGCCTGCCGGATTTACATGCAGGGCGACGAATTCAATTGAATACTATATTTCAAAGTACGCCTCAGATCAGCTACTACTACCGCAACGACAGTATAGCTAGCTTCATCATGTAATGAGACCGACGCGCGGGATGCGACCGTGGATATATTGAATAGAAGTATATTGAATGGAAGTATGCCCAGTTTGAGCTCAGACCGATTTGGGCCGGACGAGCCTGTCCAAGGATTGCATGTCTCTAGGTCGGACTAATATCGAAGATGTGAGTATATTTTCAGTTGACATCATTGATCGACATGATTGCTTGCACACTTCTGAGCGGCAATATAAATCTTACGCGACTTCTAGGTAGCATCAAGCTCAACTTCGCGATTCTGTATGGTATGCACATGCGCGGCCGGACCGGAATATGTAATGTAATGAAGCTAGTATGGAATGTGTCATGCATGTACATACTTCCTATTGGCAAGTCGGAACCAGCTTAAAATGGCTGACTGGCCCTGACCGCCTGGCAGTGACACTTGTGCAGCAACGTCATTCATGGCTGCCGATTAGTACAACCTAATTGCACCAAAATGTCACTGGGAGAATAACTACGGAGCATCCCCGGGTCAAGTCGGTTTAATGAATGGTCGAGCCTGCCTGCATCATTCCAGAGTTTCGAGCAATATTTGGATTTGCAGGTTGCCATATCCGATGATCATATTGTCTCGAAGTTCGATGGGCACACGTACGGGCAATTGTCCAATGCGCCCACGCTTTGTGTTTTTTTCTGTGCTAGTTTCTAAGGTGTGGCAGTACAGGCAGGTCTCCGAGATCTATTTGCCTATTCAAGCAGTGCAGAAAGTATCGTCCGTAGTGTAAAAACGTGCCTTGTCCCATGAACGCCGCTTGCGCTTTCATGCAGACGAGCCTAGAATTCTTCTGTTCGGACAGCTGTGAATTCTTGTTGTGCAAGATTGAGTACCTAGCGATGCCGTAAGCCGGACTGCACTCCTTATGGTTCACTGTGTGCATCCAGTCGATGAGCCACTGCACGCTAGCTGCCCACGACGCTTCTCTGTTAAGAGCGTAAGTATGGAGATGGCATACGTTATCGTAAATAAACATTTTCAGCCGTCGCCACCGGCAGAACAGCACTTCGAACACCACCCTCGGGGACTCCGCTGCCGAGAGGACGACAAACCCAACGCACTTGCTGCACCCCGTGCAGAAAAAGGGGTACATCCCCGGGGTCACGTTCTTATGCTTGCCCTTGAACTTCGTGCACGTGGGCCCCACTTTCTGGCTGAAGTAGTCGGCGGCGTACCTCTGAAGAGGGCGCCAGATGGGCTGGTTCGGAAAGTAGTGGCCGGTCCGGAGAAATGCTTCCTCGTCGGACCAGTCTTTTGGTGTTCGCCCGCCTGCAAATGATGTTGCACAGAAGCGAATCAGGGAATTCGGAGCGCTCTTGTAGGGTCCGACAGGAGCCTCGCAACAAAGGAAGCCGAGAACCCAAATACCTTGAGACTTTCAGAATACTTTCAATAAACTTTTGAAAAGTTCCGCGACTGGGTCGATGAGGATACAGATTTGTGTTGACCGCAAGTTAACAAGTTGAGCGGTTGGATGATTTCGCGATAGACACAAGTAATTCGGAGCGCTCTTTACGTTTCGAACAAAAGCAAGAAGGCAACCGTCAGGGCTGTGGCTTCACGAGAGAGCTTTGCCGGCTGCTGGAAAAAGAAACGTCAATAACCTCAGACTTTAGGAAGCAAACTTGCCCCGGCAGCTTGGGGTCACGAATGAAAACTGACAACCGTTTGTCAATCAGCAGATACATTGACCTCGGGCGATGGATGAGGCTTCGAATAAACACCAAAGAGTGAGGAGAAAGAAAGGCAGAGACCGGTGTTGTCCAGTACATACCCCCTATCTCAGTAGTCTTGGTAAGAATGACATCGCCATACAAGTGCGCAAAGTTTGGAAGGGACTTGATGAAGCGTATCAGGTGCCGCCATTAAACGACAGCCTTGACAGCAGAGATTGGAAGAGAACGGGTACCCGACTGGTCCGATTGAATTCATATTGTCTTCTCAGTCTGACCCCGTTGCCATAGTCAGCTTAACAAGTCGAAGCATTTCTTCAAACGCGGGACCATCAATGACCGTATCAAGCAGGAATGCTCACGGTAGTTAAAAAAAGGTGACTGCAAAAAGAAAATCACTCACCATTCGGATCGCCCGCAGCCGCATCGTTGTCCCGAAGCTTCTTCTTCTTCAGCTTTTCCACCTCTGCTAGTGGCTCCTCCACATAGGCTTGGCGCGCAACCCTAAGCAGGTCTCTTAACAGCTGGAGGCACTCATCCGTTAGACGGCCCCCGCTTACAGAATGCTGAGCTCGCACGAAGTCGAATAGAACGGGGGCCCGAGCAGCGAGTTGCCTGGCTTGCCCGAGGTCTGGAAAGAAGTGACTTTCGTTCTCGAGGAGATGCTCTACGATTGGCTCGACCTCCGCGGGCAGAATTGCGCAAACCGGGCTCTTCGTTGCAAGCCCAAAAAGCAACTCTCGGCACATGGGGGAGCTGTGGTATCTTCCGTTCTCCAGCTCGGGGGTTTTGAGGAGGAAGCGCAGGGACGAAAATGAGGCGGCGGCGACTGTTGTCTCCAGACCCCCCAGTTCTACTTCCGTTAGACCCGCCCCCGCTTTTCCGACTGGCCGAGCAAACTTGAGGAGAAGGTCTCGGCACACGTTGTCGTTCACGAAGATCCGCTTTTGATGTAGGGAGCCCGTTTTGAGTGGCCCCTCGACAGCCTCGTACGGGGACACGAGGAAGCTGAGGTCCCCCCGGTACCCCAGCATGATGCCGTCCCCAATGACGCACTCGGGCTCAGGCGCCGCTCCAACGGGGTGCGGGCATGCGCACTTGAAAGACGTGTCGTAGTCGATGTCCTGGAGGGTTATGTAGTCCATCCAGGCGTCTTGGAACGTGGAGCGGAGGTTGACGAATCTTTGGAGAGTGGCGGGGGGCAGCCCGGAGCCGGCGTACATGGACAGCACCGCCTGCCACATCGTGTAGAAGGGGTACTTCGTCCGCCACATCTGGTTGCTGTACCTGCACGCCGATGAGCACGCAACTCAATCAGTCGGGTATGCAGTAAGTCGACGTCATCGAGAACGGCAAGCCAAATCATAGATTTTCCCTCCTCTAGTTTCTCGGACGGCTCTCGATGCCCCCCTATAAATTCGAGAACGAAAAGACAACGGTTGTTCGAGCGTGATCACAATCTAAACCGAGGCGCACGATTCTCGCAAAAGCGGCCACATCGGAACCTGCAGAAGACTGGTCCGTGCATTCAACTCTGGCAACATTTGAGGCGAACCTCCTGTTGTACCGTCAACTTGGACGCACTCTCAGAACACTGGACCAAATCTTGTCCGTATAGTGATTGCACCTGATCCATTACATGCTATCTCAATATTGGAAACAGATAGAAGCTCAGATGGACGGCTCCTTCGTTGGAAGCCTCAAGGAACTAGTCACAGTGCGTTCTTGTTACCAGCCTTCAATGAAGCAGCAAACGAGGTGATGATCATCTGGTGAAGTCCTCAAAACAGAAGTAAGAAAGGTCGACTGACTGTTTTCTAAATCGGGTTCCAACAACTTGCAAGATACAACAGACTTTCACTAGTGGACGTCAGCTCGGGGCAAACCAACCTGTGTTCTCTACCCGTAAGAAACAGAGGACCGCAGATAAATCTTTGAAACGACTCAAACCGACTTCAACGGGCAACATCTGTGAAACACCATCTATCTTGAGCAGGCTATGCAAGCCTCAAAAGCGAACCGTTCCTGCCGTGCCACTTTGAATGTCCGAGTCATCGTCATTCTAAAAAGCGATCAGAACTGGCGGTACACAAAAACGTGTGTTGACTCCCAGAGCAGACCCTTCCAAGTTCAAAGCAAACGCCTAGGATTATCTCAGAGCAAGGTGACACTGCCTTTGAATCTTCTCCAAGACCTCACAGCCTCACCAATTCAAGAGTTCGTAGGAGAACAGGTACTTGTCGTTGAAGTTCAAGACGCCGTCACCCCGCCCATCGTAGTGCCAAGTTCTGCCGCAGTTGCATGACCACACCTCCACGCGCGTCGGCACCGGAGCAAGGAGGTGGAAAATGGTCCCATCGACCGTCGTCCCCTCGCTATCCTCCATCTGCCGCCCGCACCCCAAGCAGACCAGCGCCTCCACCCGCTCCACCGAGCAACTGTCTGGAAACTTCCGGCTGCCATCACCCCGCCCGCGCAGGATGTCGACGAGGTGCTCGTCACTTTCGTGAAGCTCTGCGATTGGTTTTCGAGATCTGCACTTCAGCTTCCGCTTGCCGGTTCCAACGTCAAACTCCTCTCTGAAGCGCACCTCGAACGCGGCCGCAGACATTCGCGCAGCCATTGACACTCGCTCTCCCAGTAGTTTCTGGACATGCCAACACTTCTCCTACCCCTTCCCGTAACAACTCGTGCAGCGCCGCCCCCCAGTCTTCGTTTCGATGACCACTATGCACTCCGTGGCTGAAGTGCCAAGCACCCAGGCCTTGGGCGCCTCCCCAACGAACGGCAGCAGGTAGACGCCATCGCCTTCAGCATCATCTTCCCCACCCGACGCTCCCACCCGAGGCAGCCCGCAAAGCCCCTCAGCATCTAGCCGGAGCGATGCCGCCAGCATGATCAGAACCTCCAGATGGATGCACTTGTCTGCCTGGCCACAGAGGTACTGTGGAGACAACGGCGGGTGGCGCACTCCGCTGAATATTGATTTCTGAAGCTCCATCTCAGGGCAGCAGCTGCACCAGTGTGCAATGCCCACTCCTCCGCCTAACACAGCGATCTGACACAGCCCTGGCATTGCATACGCTTGATGATTCAAAGTTCCTTTCTTCCTGTCAAACTCCGGCATGCAGAAGCTAACTTCAGGGAGGCCTTCTTCCAGGTCCGCTTCTGATCCCGCTGGAAGAAGTGGGGGGAGGCAGCCAGCGCACACGGCAAGTAACTGATTGCAGTACAGTTCGACAGCACTGTTCCCAGCAAAGACAGCGCCGGCGCCTTCAAAAGGCAGATCTTGCATATCCGGCAAGTCTTGCTGCCATTCTTGCGCACCGGCAAACCCAGCTCCCTGATCACTGTTCTCAACAGCGCCGCCCTGCCTGACAGGATCTTCTGGTACAGCATTGCCATTGGTAGTTTCTGCAGCACCTTCCCTCTCCTGAAATAATCTGGGGTCCTCTAGAATGTCCCTTCTGGACTTGTGCTCAAACGTGCCGTCCTCTCGTAGCACTGCCACATCAGTTTCTTTGCCTTTTGGCCTCCCCCGCGCCTTTCCTGTATTTGCCCGCTTGCTCATACTGTGCGGCCTTCCTCCAGAGCCCTTCAGAGCCCTTTGAGGGCTGAATTGAAAGCAGGCCCTGAAAAGGTGCGCCCCAGATCACAGCCGCCCACACTGGTAGTAACCTTGCTCAGCACTTGCTTCAGACTAGCAATCCGCTGCTTTTTACCCGCCTCCGCGGTAGGTTTAAAAGGGCGGTTTTGCCCGAGGTTTTATAGCTGAGGTTGGGGCCAACCTGCCCTGGGTTTTATGTGTTTTTATACGGCCGACGAGCTGGTCATTTTGACCACCGTTATTACTCTCGTGAAGAATACCGGTAGCCTTTGCTGCAGCGCGTCACGTGACTTGCGCGGCCGGAAAGCGCCGCGCCGCCGCGCTCCCTTATCGAAGAAATACAGGGTTCTGGGCAGGTTTGAACGATTTGTAGGCTTGAAAGCGTCACGGTGTGAAGCCTAAGGACCCGGGCCCTAGCTGCCTGTAGGTATGATGTATCCATTGCATGGTGGAAGCAGCCCACCTGGCCACAATTTGAGCATATGCACAACACTTCGGCAAAACGCTCTGTTTCCATTCTTTTCTCACTGTTCTGCATTCCATTGTTGTCTTCTGTTCTGCATTTCCCCTTCGGAACGCCTGCTTCTATCGCTGTAGCTCAAAACCCCGCTCCCAATTGTCAGATTCGCATGCAGAGCCTGTCTGGTTTCTCCTCGCGCGTGCTGCGGGCTTTTCAGAATTCCCAATTCCCAAACCCGAGGTCAATTGCATTGCTGGGAGGCCGCCTCGTAGCCTCCTTCCAATCATCGGCACCCAATCGTACCTGGATTCACGACCCTCAGACCGACACCCTCATGGCGAATGTGAAGGCTGCGGATCCGAGTTATGCAGACTCGGGGCATGAGGACGTGTACGGAGAGGACGATGCAACCAAGGATCTGCCTGTGACCCCATGGGGCAGGTTTATTGCTAAGTGAGCAGGACGGAATTCTGCTGGGTCTCTACACTCTTTCTGTGCATTGGAGGGCCCGCTTCTTTTGAGTTATCAAGCACGTGCATTCTCTGGTTGCCAAATCATCAAGCTGATTAGTTGAGCGTAGTACTGTCGCTTTGACCTTCACACTCAAAGAAGTCGCATGTGCACGTTTTCACAATGTGGCACCTTCAGAAGGTTTCTGGCCCACCCAACCCCTCTCGGAGATCTGGATCAAGCATACACATTTGAGTGACTTCCTATCTCGCTTCTGTTTTTTGAACTCTGTCTGTATCAACTGTTTTGAACATTTCCTTTCATCGAGAAGAGACAATGACAAGACTTGAAAAAGAAGCCCCGTCTTACTCCGTGCCAGCAGACGCGCTAATAGGGGGGGGCCCTAGTGTTATTCAGAATAATTGGGCGTAAAGGGTTTGTAGGCGGTCAGATTGAGCTCAGACCTTAGCCATAGGCTTAACCTATGGACGGTCTTGCAGCTGTTCTGTCTTTGAGTTGGATAGGGAAGAATGGAATTTCTTCTTGTAGGGGCTTCTTAAGTACTTGATGATGTTCGATCACTTGTAGCAATCGCTGACAAAAGGTTTACCAATACATGGTGCACCAAGAGAAGAGTCGCAGTATCCTCTAAATCTGCAGAATTGCCTCAGAGGCCTGCCTCATAACGGAAGGCTTAAATAGCTGTCTTTTCTGACAAAATTTGGTGTCCAATAAAAAAATCCAACCACTGTATACAATGCTGTATCCGAGAGTTACAGCTTAATCAACCCAGCACAATCCCAAAGCTTTTCCGCCTCACTTCAAGATCAACTCTTGTCGCTGTTGATCACCACAAGAACTAAAGATTCTTCTCTTTTGAAGCGACTCAGCTAAATATGCATTCTCACGTCTGTAAACTATGTTGAGTCCCCATGACTTTCAAAGTCAGGAACTGTTATTGGGGTCAGCTCTACGTTTAAGACTTGGGTCGACTGCAGGAAACATCTCACTTCAAATTCAAATTTCAATTTGTCTCTCATCTGTATGGCATGCTGAAGAAAAGACGTAACTTGCCCGGCTCTCCCTTCAATCTGTTCATGTCTACAACCACAATTCTCAAAGTTGTCGTCTAAGATAGAACAAGTGGTTTGCTGTGCATCTCCCTCGCTTCGTCTAACATACCCCAGCTCATGCCCTTGCTAGTCTCAGCATCCCCCAAAGTCAGCTGTCTGCACGGCTGCACCATTTAACCCTCTGAAATATACCTGTCGCTTGCTTCTCTTCTTGCAACGTTGGCAATCAGTCTTCCGTCAAGTTGGGAAGCATTGAATGCCCCTTAATACACTCATTGGTGCAGACCGCTTGCAATGTCCTTGATTCTCCATCTTCGTCACCATATGTGAAAGTCATGTCTTCTAAGGCCCCTAGGTTGGAGCATTGCTGTAATTGACAAGAGTTCTGACAAGCTTCACCTCCTTTTTGTCGCAATCTGTATTGTCCATGCAGTTCCCATTGGCCTTGTTTCAGCACCCCTCCATTGCTCCAGCCATGCAGCCTATCCCTGTTCTCAACGCTCGTTAAACAGCACTCTTTCAAAGAAACAGTGCTTTGATTTGGAAACTCATCCAGATTCGTGTAACCCTCTAAACCTCACTGAAGGCAGTCTCTGCTGCTGCTTGAACTCCTCACCCCCTCGCTGATACCATTTTTCGCTGCAGTGGCCCAATCGCAGTACCCAACCGCCTCTTCAGTGAGGAGATCATTCCAATGCTTGGAGCCTTTTACTAGCTTCTCTCATCTTTATCAACCTGTTCCTAGAACCCAAACCGTTCCTAAGACGCAAAACCCTGCCCCTCTGCAGCGGCATGGACCTGTTGCGCGACCCCCGCTTCAACAAGGGCACCGCTTTCACAGAGGAGGACAGGAAGCACCACTACCTCGAGGGGCTGCTGCCGCCCATCATCCTCAGTCAGGAGCAGCAGGTGATAGTCCCTGACAATTCAGGCTGAGAGTCGAATTTTATTGAAGCTTATAATCTTGAAGAGTGGTTTTCATTGTGTTTGCAGATTCTTTGAAAAGAAGCATCACTACCTCAAGGGGCTGCTGCACATCGATTTTCTCATGCAGATCAGCAGGGGACAAGCCCTAAGATTCCGTGCTTCAGTGTAATGCATGGAAACTTGAAAGCAGAGATGTCACGGTGTGTGAGTAAATTGTTGGATTGAGATGCTGCTACGCCCCATCATCCTCACGCAGGACCAGCAGGTGCGGATTTTGGAGTGAAGGTGGCTGCCTCTCTGCAGGAGCCTGTGCTTTGAAGGGAGATGATGGGAATCAAAGAGTAAAATTCAGAAGTGGTTCTTTGTAAGGACACCAAAGACCTCTTTGCAAGGAGCTTCTACCTCCCCTCATCTTGACGTGAGACACTTCTAAACAAGTGATGCCTGGGACAGATGGTCAGATGGAAGCTTGCGAGGCCCCTGTATACCCTGGCTAACGCTCTACAAAACTGTATTCGAGCGTTAGGCTCATCGAGCACAACATCTACCGCAAGGCAGACCCCTTCCCGAATTACCTTGACATGATTGACCGCAAACTTCAGACCCTAGACCAGCTTCCCTAAAAGACTTCCCTACTGCCCGTGAAGTTGCTTCTACACCGGAGCTTGACCCCGCCAAATTGAGCTCATGGTGCAGAAGGTCCGCAAGGCGGAACCCGTTGAAAATCGTATGGATTCTAAGTGATTCCATGGCCGCCTTTCGTTTTTCATAATCCAGTCGAACCCCTACCTTGACCCTGCCAGTTATGAGCACGTCGGACACAACAGCCGGAGCAAGGGGGACTTCCCCCAGACGTACTCGGACGTGTCTGATATAATCCCAGAGGCGGATTGAGAAAACTCGAAAAAAGAAAAATTGCGCGAAGAAGGACCTTAGGTTTGCGGTGTGGATGCAGATCGAAAGACTTTGGCCCAGTGGTTGTCGATTATGTAGCTACTTTTCTCTGAAAGCCTCTCCTTTAAACTTTTGACCTCTCTCCTAACCCGGATCTCGACCCCGCCAGGTTGAATGCATCGTGCACAACAATCACAGACCTGCTGAGAGGTACCTGACCTTACTCGAATCCAAGCTTGGCTTCTCCTTTATGAGCCCTTCTATTGCCCCTTGTCTAACCGGGGCTTCTTGCCTAAGCGTCACCTGATCCTCGGCCTAACCCGTATTTTGAACACTGCCAGATTGAGCGCATCGTGCACAACATCCGCAGCAAGGCGGACCCGCTGCAGCGGTACCTGGACATGATGGACCTGCAGGACCGCAACGAGCGCCTCTTCTTTGCGACGCTCATCGAGCACGTCGAGGAGCTGATGCCCGTCGTGTACACGCCCACGGTCGGCGAGGCCTGTGAGAAGTACGGCACTGTCTTCCGCCGCTCGCGCGGGCTCTTCATCACCATCAAGGTGGGCTGCGGGCCGGTCGTGGCGTCGCCTAACGGATGGCATTTTGAAGTGACTTTACGAGGTCCGAAGTCGGTGCAAAGGATGCTTCAGTTCTGGACGACTTTTAGCTGTGTTCATTCTTTCCCTGTGGGTGTGCCTAAGATCCCTGTAGAATTCTGAAAATTCTCATTCTATTGCGTGAGGATCTCAAAGCCCCATGTCTGGATCGACGTTGATCCGACGTCAACGTTTCTCTCGTTTCTCCCGTTGCCCTCTCGACAAGGATGCACGGGAAGTACCGGTCACAACGAGACTCTGCTCCATCGACAGTTCTGTCTCAACGCGCCTCTGTCAATCGACATTCATCGCAAGTAATGTCCTCACTTCGTGCCAAATCCCAAAATCCTACTCTCAAATTCGTGAAATTGTGACACTCCTAACCCTCCGCACTTCAGGACAAGGGCAGGGTTTACGAGGTCCTGAAGAACTGGCCGGAGTACAAGGTCGCCGTGATTGTGGTCACTGACGGGGAGCGCATTCTTGGGCTCGGCGACCTTGGTATCCAGGGCATGGGCATCCCCGTGGGGAAGCTCGCGCTGTACACTGCCCTCGGAGGCATCCGGCCTTCACAGGTTAGAAGCTTCCCACCTCTCGGGCCCCTTTACCTCGCAGCCAAGTTTTCGACGGATTGTTCGATATTCCCCACAAAGGCTGGGAGTTAGTGTTTAACCGTCGATTTCCTTGAAATTCCACTTGATCCGTTTGCCGACTGGCCGTGCATCATCTTGGGTGCGAGTTTAAGGTGCCCGAAGCTTTTCTGGTTGCAAAATATTCTGTGCTCCGATTACATTTGGCTTCCACCAAGACGTGTGAGAGGTTATCTGCGATTTTCCGGACCAAGGAGCTGGCTTCGATCAATGAAGAGTTGTTCAGTGAAACACGACCCAAACGGCTTACCCGCATGAAAGCCGTCAGTTGTTACTGCACAGAGCAACAGCATCCTCGAATCTTGCTTCAAGGCCTTTTAAAAGTAACCTGTCACAGTTGCTCGACGACGCTCGTACGGAAGGGGTTACACAACCTCATCCTGGTATGTCCACTACTGATGGTTTTGAAATGTTGACGGCCCTCGTGCTTCTTCTTTGGATGCAGTGCCTTCCCATCACCATCGATGTTGGTACAGACAACGAGAAGCTGCTGAACGACCCGTTCTACATCGGCCTGAAACAGAAGCGCGTCAGGGGACAGGTAGGACTGCTAAAATCCGTTTTCTCTGGCTTGAGGATACCTGTCTTTTGTGCATGTTGTGTGCATCTTTGTAACGGGAGCGCACGGATTGGCTAAAGGGGATCCCCATGAGCGTGAGTACCAGGTCCGAGGCCGTTGGGAGAAGAGACTGCGCAGAACGCAACATGTATCAGCTCGATTCCTCGGCGGGAACTTATATTCGTCAAAGGAAGAGGAACTTGCGTATGATAGAGACCAGACCACCGAAGAATTACCTGTCGAATATTTGCAGATACGAGGAGTCGTGACGAAGATCTAGGTTTCGGAAACGGTCTACAAAAACCAGCTTTTCGCTTGCTGGACGTATTTGTGCGTGCATTTGTTGGTCATGAGCAACCAGGGCATTCAACCATTTCGCCTAATCAATGAAGTTTCTGGTCACGAAAACTTAAAAGCTGACCTCCCCAATATTGGAGATTGCACTTTGCTTTTTTGGTCGTCCAGCATCACGAAAACGTACTGGACGAGTTCACGCGTGCAGTGAAGCGGAGCTATGGCGAGAAGCTTTTGGTCGTGCACGTTCAAGTCCTCTTTTTGAGATCTCTAACGGTTTTGATTTTCGAAACCCCAATTCTCAGGAGCCCCTTTCCTTCGGCTAAGGAGTACGACGAGCTTCTCGACGAGTTCATACAGGCGGTGAAAGCGAGCTAGAGCGAGAAATCTATGGCAAATTGGCCGTGCTCATTCGATCTGCCTTGGATTGCATGCATTGCTACCAAGTCTGAAACGCTGAAGATCACGAGTCCTTTTCCTTTTTTTCAGGAGTACGACGATCTCCTGGACGAATTCATGCACGCGGTGAAGCGGCGCTACGGCGAGAAGGTGCTGGTGCAGTTCGAGGACTTCGCCAACAGTAATGCGTTCCGCCTGCTCGAAAAGTACCGCACCACGCACCTCACCTTCAACGATGACATCCAGGTCGGGCGGCGCTCCTGCTCGACTGCGTCTATCTTTTGATCCCCTCTTGTCGGTCCTACTTTCGAAAGCTACTGCTCCTTTTCTGTGCCATCCTCGACCTGAAACTCAACTCGCGCCTCAAGTCGAGAGGACGAATTCTAGCTCTGGCGGCGCTCGTTTTCAGCCGTCTCTATATATCCTCCCCTTAATATCTGCACAGCTCTAAAATCGTTTGCTCCGTGTTTGCTCCGTCTTCCATTGATTTCCACCTCGTGTCTCACCTTCCGCGACGACATCCAGGTCGGGCGGCGCTCACTTTGCAGCCGCCTCTAGTTCCTCTTCCCTTGTCTTGTGTTCCACTTTTGAACGTCTTTGCACTTTTGCTCCTTCTTCGACTCGGTCCCAACCCGTGGGCTACGTTCGACATGAAACGTTCAGGCCTGGCATAGTTGCTTTTCAGCCGCGTTTAGATGCCTTGTCCTCGACTTGGCTTGTCATCCCAAGTACGGGTCCTTTTCGTCCTCGACTTAGAGGTTTTTCGTGTTTGATAGTGTACGCCTCTCCTCTTCAAGACAAGACCAGATTGGCCGCCATTGAGTCAGATCCTCTCAGTGAAGTTTCTTTGTGCTTCCCGACTTTTCTGCCTTTATTTGTGCTCCTCACTTGGTCGGCTTGAGTTCGAAACCCGCCTCCAACCATCTGTTTTTGCCTCTCTAATGACGCCCTATTCCTCAGTCCAGAAGTTCGTACTGGGTCCCATCATTTTGAAGAAAGACGCGCCGGGAATGTTCCTCGAACAAGTGTGTGCCAACGGTTTCAATCATTCATTTAATCCGAGCATATTCGCTCTGCCAACCTGCGTCATTTCAAACAGTCCCCACTTTGCTTTCTGATGGCTACTTTGCAAAAGAGACGTCTTTCTTGGTTGAAACTCTCTCAGCTGTCCAAACCTTTTGAGGCACTCATCATTGGAAGCAGGAGAGTATTTCCATCAACCCTACACTCAACATTCTCCTTAAACTCCCTGGCTGACGTCAGCTTGCTCTTCTTGCAGGGCACAGCTTCCGTCACGCTCGCGGGACTAATGGCCGCCCTTCCTCTCAACGGAGGCAGCATGGCGGACCACCGCTTCCTGTTCCAGGGGGCTGGCGAGGTACGGAAACGACCCCCCCTCTGCCCTCCTTTCCAAGGTGCATCCGTGTTGCAACAGACGAAGGTTACGATTCTACCACTCCAATGGGTGCGCCGCAGAGTAGAGGGAGGCGTGTGGGGAATTCTCGTGGCCTCAGCCAGTGCAACACTTGAGATGTACGGTACTAGCACGATTCAGAGAGAGTGGAGAGTATCTCAGTCCTGTAGAGAGTTCTTTGGGAATGCTCGGGCTAAGGGCAAGCAGATAGACCAGTCGAAAGCAGAGGCAGCACTCTTGGTGCGTTCCTACCTTGTCGAGTCGAGATGGGTCAAACTGTTCTGGACTAGATTCTTGTATCAGTGAGGCTTGGTTGGAAACGTTTTACCAAGTGAAAGCCTTACTCGAGAAGCGGAACGTGGGGGGTCGTGACGCAGACAGCTTCCAAGCAACCGGGTGATGTGTGATCTGGATTCGCACACCGAACCAAACCCGTTTGGAACCCACTGAAGCAAACCCGTTCGGAAGTACTGATGAGCTCACATTATCGGAGGTACTGCCGGGCTTGGGAACTCAATGTCAAAGCGGACTTGAAAATTCGGTTGTTAGCTTGGCCTGAGAGAGGTCTTTGGTCGCATGGGCAGACGATATCAGCAGAAGTCCAGTTTGTCTTCAATAATACCAGAATCCGGATGAACATGAGTTAGTGAACACGAGTCTTCGTTAAGGAGACGACAGTCTACTTTCCTTCTATACACATTCAGAAAGGGCATTCCCGTGGCTCGTCGTGCAGGCTGGCACGGGTATTGCCGACCTGATTGCACTGTCCATCAGCAAAGACGGACAGAAGTCGGTCGAGGAGGCGCGCAAGCAGATCTACCTGGTTGATTCTAAGGTAGGCGCGACATCAGCAACGGGTCTCACAACCCGAAGAGCAGGGCATGATGTTGAAATCCTGGATTGCTTTCCATCAGAAACCTTGCATCTCTCCTGTCAGATATTGGTGGTCAATATTGTACCATCACAGGATGATCCACCGGTTTGGTTGCTGAAGTGACTTTTGTAGGATGTCCGACCTTTAGACGACTTTGAATTTAACGAAATTGCCAAACGGCTTGAAGCACGAGCTTCTGTTTCAACCAGTCCACAGTACGAACTTTCTTGTTCCAGATGTTATGTCTTGGCAAAGTTGAACCGTACCTTCTCCATTTGATTCACACATTGCAAGGATCTACAAGAAAAGCGTCTAGTAACGAAGGTTTTGTGCTGAGGCCCGGCAGCAGCGAATACATAGCTATCTGCCCTGAACTCCATCGACAGGAGTCGACGTGTCATACCATCATCATAAGCTTGATGAGTCAAGACATTTTTACTCTCGAGAGTTGACAAGAAGGACTTAAAACGTCATGAGCGACTAATACTGAGAAGGTAACCGTCCCCTTGACAGGGCCTCGTAACCGCATCCCGGGGCATCGAGTCTCTGCGGGAGCACAAGCAGCACTGGGCGCATGAGCATTCTCTGATACTTTCTCATACACCTAATTTCCAGAGTTGTGAGTCCCAAAGAACCCATCAGAGACAATCTGCTCAATGAAAGCTCAGAAAATGATTTGGACGAAGCGCGCGCGTTTGTTCCCCTCACAGGGCCTCGTAACCGCATCCCGGGGCATCGAGTCCCTCCCCGAGCACAAGCAGAAGTGGGCGCACGAGCACCCCCCTGTCGGGAGCCTGATCGAGGCGATCCACGCGCTCAAGCCGACGGCACTCATTGGGGTCTCCGCAATGCGGGGGGCGTTCGACAAAGATGTCCTGCAGGCTATGGCCAAGTATCACCCTGTAAGAATTGTTCTTGGATTTTTGGAGAGTGAGTAGTAAGGTTTGTGGTCCTTGTGCGCGTCTGACAACGGGCGTGCTGCAGGCTTATGGCGGAGTATGAAGAAGGGAGAGTCTTGGGTGTGTTAGTTGTTTGAAACTGTGATGGGTTTGGGTTCTGAAATGTGGAGCACACTGCGTGCTACAGGCAGTAGGCTAGTCTCACAAGAGAGAATTCTCAAGAGTTGGGGTTTTCGAAAATTTGTGCACTCGCAGAGCCGGCACTTCGACCAAATGCGCTCCCATTCTTGGTTCGCCCAGAATTCAGTCTGAACAGCAAGGTACGAATGCGAAGAGGGTTCCGCTATTAGGTCGAGCGTCCCGAGATATTCGCGCGTTCAACCCAATTGCAAGGCTCGGCTCTTTACCCCGACTTGAATTGACCCGGAGTTTTGACAGAAGGTAATTGCTTGCAGCGCCCCATCATTTTCGCCTTGTCCAACCCGACCTCTAAGGCCGAGTGCACCGCTGAGGAGGCGTACAAGGAGACCAACGGCGCCGCCGTCTTTGCCAGCGGGAGTCCCTTTGGCCCAGTCGAAGTGAACGGCAAGCCGCGCTTGACGGGACAGGTGAGACGGGGCCTCAGGCATTGAGCAATAGCCGAGAGATATGGTCTAGCTTTCGTGGGTGGAGTTGTGTCCAGATGGCATGCGTGATGTTGCAGAAGAGACCCGCGATGCGAGAGTTCCCATCCTTCCGGATTCCGGGGGTATTTGTGAACTTCGGTCGTCCAAGCAAAGAAAATGAAGGACTCGTTCGAGCAGAGGAGGCTTGTTTTGATCCAGAAACTTCCGAACAGACCTCTGCACTCTGTGATAGCTCGAGGCCGTCCCAAAAAGAACGTTGCCCCCTCCCAGCCGCGACTCTCTTGTAACCGACCTGTTGACCTTCTTGCGACAGTTTTGACCTTCGTGGCGGCCCGTCTCCTGTCACTGCTGTGGCTGCTATACAACTTGCTCTAGCGGACTCATCCGTAACGGAACAGCTTCTCGTACACCGTCTGCCGACGATCCCATCAGGGTCTCTACTGCCAACCGGTCTGCGAATCGATAGGTCTTAGCCAATCCGTAAAGATCGATCAGCTAAAATGATTGCATGTAGAACCAATCAGACGTCTTTTGAGCCGTTATTTATACTTGGTTCAGATCTAGGAAGGTTAATTCAACAAGAGTGATTTTAGCATGTTCCTTTCCGCGCACTCTCTTGATTCTCTTGAGATTCATTGCCTTTCCGTTGCGCCAGGGCAACAACGCCTACATCTTCCCGGGGATCGGCCTCGGATGCATCATCTCGGGTTCCGTCCGTATCCACGACGACTTCTTCCTGGTGGCCGGTAAGTAAAGATTGGAGACCCAAAAACGATAACCCCTGGGAGATACGGGAGGGAAAGCATGGAACGCTGGCCATGACGCAAATGGAGCGGCTCCCTGCTTAAGGATTGAAATCCATGTCCTGTTGACAAGAGGCATGATTGGCAGTCTTGTGTTTCCTGCTGGCTAACCTTACGAGCGGCTCCCATTTCGATCCGACCTATTCTTTTCAGACAGAAAACTAATCAAACTCATCGATTGAATGCATGATAGCGTTGCGGTCCATTACTGCGCAGCTCGAGCGATCGAGCCCTTCTGTTGTGTCCTGTCTCACTCAACCCCTGACAAGCCTGCCCTTACCCCGAACACATATCTCCGTCTCCCATCTCATGAGAACCCTTCTATTTTAACGTCGTTTAAACACACCGTTCTTCTTTATTCCGCTTTCACAGCGGAGGCGCTAGCGTCCCAAGTCACGGACGATGACCGCGCACAAGGCCTGGTGTACCCGCCCTTCACGCGCATCCGCACCATATCCGCGGTCATCGCCACCGCCGTTGCGGAGCGCTCCTACGAGCTCGGTAAGTAGCGTCGGGCGATGAGGTGTGCGCCCGCTAAGCTGTGACTCGATCCCCGTACAGGTCAATCTTCGAGAAACGGTAAAGACGTTCAGCGATTGGGTAGAAAGGTGCAAACTATGTGGAGCAGATTGATGTGAGCGGTGGGACTTCGTTTGCTCCAGAGCTTATCTACCGATCTCCGAACTTCCTGGCGTCTTTTGCCCAAGTCAATTTAGATTCTTCGCCCGTCGGCCCTAAACCCAGATTGCATGTTTCGGTAAGGGAACCTGTGCACAGACCAGCGCCCCCCGCCTCCTGCCTGTGACGTCAAACTTACCCCTTGTGGTGCTTCTTTCAGGGCTGGCGTCACGGCTGCCAAAGCCAGCCAACCTGCTGGAATATTCCAAGAGGTGCATGTACAATCCCGATTACCGGAAATACTATTAAACGCCCTATCTTGGTTAGAAATCTGATCAACTGTGGTGGTGATTATTGCTGCTATCAAGTCCAGGCGCTGAACATGTGTACAAAACTGAACCACTTGCCAGGCGTCAGGTCATTGTAGAAGGGCTCGGTGTTGATATAGGTGGGTACAATAGCTCGGAGGCACCAAAAGCAGTGGTGTTTTCGAATCAAATGGTCATTGAAGAGGCTGTGCAATCGGGACGAATAAAAGGCGGCTGGGCACAACAATGAGCGATAATTTTTGTGCCTGACCTTGTACGCATTTAGGGGGTTTCGCTACTAATCCGGAGCTCTCACGTCATTGGCGGCCCGGCCATAAACCAATATGATGTTATGCACGCACGTGATTGATATGTCACTAACTCAACCGCGTAATGGATCCCGCCCTGCCCTGAATCCCTACTAAGAGTCGAATTGCAAGGCTACGAACTTTGGCGCAGGCCGGCTAGTCGGATGGCTTGCGCGATGCGCCGGCGTGGCGGGCGGCCACCTGCCAGTGAACGACTAGGAAGCAGCGGCACTGGAGCCGGTGCTATATCTCATACTACCTAGTCGATATCATTGGATACTTTCGTAATAAGTAGACGTATATTCAATAAGTGAAATGCATGGTATGACTTTCTCATATGCTTGAGGGCGCGCGACATTGAATTAATGCGCTACACATCTTTATAACGAGATTTCAATTAACGACGCCGCATGGCCCCGATATGCCATGAGATCTAGCTCGGCTGCAATACCCGTTCATAATCCCAAAAAGCGCTACGACCAACAAACCGGAACAGCTCGCGGGCCAGGGTCATATGAACATTTCACGTTGAGCATGATTGGACAGGTGAGTCCGCCCTAGTAAATGTTTATTTTGACCCTTGAATCACATACCGCAAAGCAATTCCTTAACTCTAACCCGGGAGATCGAGTTTTGCCGAATGCCTGGCGCTATGTTGAACCTTGGACCAGGTTCGACGGAACGATCCTGACCTTCATTGCACATCGTGATCACAATTTGGTTCACAATCTGTAGCAAGACGTTAGATAAAGTACCTGAACCATCCCCTGTCAGGTCGTGCAGAACGGTTGTAATGACTGTCACCTGCAATCGACTTGCTGAGTGACTTAGCTACAATATAGTACATGCGCGAAACAGAAAAGGAAAAGCAACCTGTCTATTTATATAGCTTGCGACCCTAACCTTCACTTTTTGGATATCTGGCGAGCCGAAGGGAAAAAGTTCAATGGTTCAATGCCGTCTGTAGTTGATCGATCCAAGGTAGCCACGTGCTCATAGTTTCGACGGCTTGGGGAAGATGTCGGGCGTAAACTTTTGAGCTGCTTTCATTGAGCCTTTAATCCTCATCTTCCCCCTGCAAGCGCCAACCAAAACCAAGTATTAAGAGGGACATCTGGATCCGCTGGGTGTTGGACAACATTGCAAACGCCTCTGAGCAACGGGTCTGCCCAACCTGTCCAACAATCTGTCCGAACGTCTGGCAATCAAGAGAGTCGATGAGAAAAGAACATACAGATGACTGCAATTTCGTTGGATTTTGGAAGCTACTCTGTCCTCTGAACGAGAAGGCTGCTCGACTCTCGGGCTCCCGCCTCGATTGTGACATCTTCCAGGTGTTGGTATTGGAAGGTGTGGTTTGGAAACCATTCACAAAAGTACTTGCCAGAAATGAAAGCTGTTCGATCAAAACTTCATTCTCACCTGATGAATGCCATCTGAGGATTCAACTTCCCAGTTGCAACAGCCACGAAATCTTGATCGGCAAAGGAGAAGGTTGCGTCTGGCTTTCCTCCCTTGTATGCCCCTGCAGGCCATTTAAGTCCCTTACAATGAGGAGCCAGCACCACAATCGAAGAGGTACCTTCAACAAAGAAAATGACGGAGGCGCAAACAAAAATCTGGCCACTCAAGCAGTGGCTTCATCCTCGACAAAGAATCAGAAATTTTGGGCAGCCTACCTTTGTACACGTTGCCCTCTTTGAGATCAATAACAAACGACTCTTCCTGAAACCCGAGCTTCTGCAGAGGAAAGGCAGTCATATGGCATCAGATGGGGCCTCTGTACGAGTTTGACACTTCTGCAAGTTTCAAATGGTACATAAACATGTAGAACAAGGCACCAAGTAGCATGAACACAGTTGATGTACTGTCTCAGCCTCCTCCATGTCCGCCCAAGAGCTTCACCTTCCAGTAGTGAGGGCGAAGAATTTATGGATCCTAACCCAAGAAGAGAATTATTGATTCTCTCAGAGTGACATACCACCCTCCCAAGATGTCTTTCAAAGGAACATCTGGCCATTCACAACTGCTCTAACATCCCATGATCATCTGCATATTCCCAGGTGTATCCAATTGGCGGCCAATGCTGCAAGCGAAGCGTCATGTAGAATGCAATGTGAGCTTGTTACTTAAAAGGTTACGTAGCACAAGGAGCAATCCTGTGCTGGACCAACACAACAAAGCTGCTGAGTCAGGGGCTTTTAGGAACAAGAAAACCTCACCTTTTCTCCAATGTTCATCTGATACACTAAGCCAATCTTCTCAAGTAGCCCCTTCCCCTCTGGACCCTTTATGTGTTCCTGCCATGCATCAGGAAACCAAGTCATCGAGCTGGCATAAGTGTCCAGAATAAATGATGCTCCATAGCCCCTTTCTGCAAGATCAACATTTGAACCACAATTACTTTAATGTTTAGTTCCAGCTCTTACTCGTCAATGTGCAGCTAATCTCCTGTACAGTTAGCTGGGGAGAAACGTGAAGATGCTGAGGTGGTGCAGCAGACACATATGAGGTGCACCGCTTCGAAGCAATGAGATGTGGAAAGAAGGAGAAACGCTAACAGTCCAACCTTCATCATGTCCAAAAGAGCTGCTGACTTCAGCTTCGAAGACGACGCAAGCTTCTCGCCATCTCCTTGAGCCCCCATGGCTTGCTTCCGAACACCCTGCTGTCCGCTTGAAGACCTGCTAAATGATGCCACCCAGCGCCGCCCAGCCTTTCAATCTGAACAAATTCAGGCTTTTGCTTCCCCCTTGAAATATTGTACCCTTAACAGAAAGCAAGGAGCGGAGAAAGATGCAGCTGCGGTGAAGCTCCAGAGTTGTCTATCTTTATATGTATAGGCTAAAGCAGCATTTCGAGCTTGAAGAATACCGAGTGTGCAGCACTGGCAGCCTCAGGGGCGTCTGCGAATCCAATCTCGAGCAGAGTACTGCTGACGAGGCTTGCAAGAATGAGCTAGGGTTTTCAACTAGGGCAAGCGCCCTTTTCCATTTCAAGAAAAGCAAGCGGTTGATCTCAGCCGCTCATTGAACATGTGGGTAACAGATCGACGCCTCAGGGGCAGCCTGACGGCTCACATGGTCATTGGTGGCGAACAGGTTTGCAATCATCGTGCTGCGTGCACACGTGATTCTGGCTGGGATCTTCAGAGTGGATATTCAGAGTGGATAATGGAGTCCTCACATTGCGAGTCAAAAGGCGACTAGGCGAGAGGAACGTGGAAGAGTGGCAGACGACGCCTCTAGAGCCAGCATTCGTGAATGCAATTCCTATCGCGCGACAAGGCGCTGCCTGGAGGGAGAAATGTAAAAACAAGTTTTTGGAGAAAGTGCTGCTTCGAAGCACTTTCTTGATAGGTGCGGACTGTTGTGTTGGGAGAACTGCAGATTCGCTCACGGAGGGTCCACGTTTTGCCTGGCTAGGAGTTGGGCTGGTTGCTTAAAAGCTTCGTAGTAAATAGACCAGAGCCCTCTGAAATGAAGCCAATGGCAATGAGCACAGCGTGTCTGAACCTGGCTCTGAACATCTGCATTGCCCCACTTTTGATGGTCCTTTCTGTGAGCGAGTTCTTCTTCCCAGAGACCGTCAAGAATGTCAAGGACTTTATAGTGGTAAGCAACCCAATCTATGGATTCGGTCTTGCGGACATCAACAGCAAGCACTGCGGTCCGTGGTCTTCTGAGACTGAGAGAAATCCATGGGGACTACATTAGCTGGCAGCATTTGCTTATTTGAGAATGCTGTTTGGACTGGTACTTGATTGTTGATATTTGAAACAGCAGCAGACCTTCTGGCCGCTGGATAAAATAGGTGTCAGGAATTCAGGATGCCCCTTGGCTGAACCCTCAAACACCACATTAGGGGCTGGCTCGTGCAGATGATATGACTGCCGGGATTTCCTTGCCGAATGCAGACTCCTCCTTTCTTGATTGGAAAGCTTGGTTGTCCGATGCCCGTTGCCCCTGACCCCCCTTTGCTGTCTTGGCCGCCCACTGATATCTCAGGGACCGCTCTCTGTGCAGATTGCCATGCGGCCTGACTTGGAAAACGAGGTCCGTGACAGGCGCCGCCCGAGCACCCGCGAAATGCTGCTGCGCATCCAGGCTGACCTGCGCGAGCTGAAGTCTGCAAACCGCTCCGAGCCTGAGCTGCATCAGATTCATGAACTGCTCAAGAGGACGGAGGAAAGGGAGGCGCACGTCAGGGACCTGCTCAAGAAAGGCTGGTCGCGGGTGCGTGGAGCCCCCTGTTTTTTCTGACACAAACCCCTTCTTTTCAGGACTCCTGGCAGCATTAAGAAAGAAGTCGGCACCAGTTCTCTTTGAAAGCCCCTTCATTCATTGCGGAGTGCCTGCGCTGTCCATGCTGCCACATGAAGTGTTTCCTTTTGCAGACAGCTCGCAACAATTGCCATGTTGGAATCTACGCATATTCGAGTAACAGCACAGCTCCGTCATGACCTGAGAGAGTTCTGGTTGTGATGTATTGGGCTGGCAGTTTGATACAGGCGCTTTCGTTGTCGAACATGAACGGGGCAATCCGTGATTGCACTCCCTTTGGTGCTGAGATCCCCAGTGGGTAATATGACAAGGACAGACTTACATAGGTGCATAATCTTTGGATTGCAGGAAGATATGATGGTCGGAGCGCTGGCGCAGACAAAGGAGCGACTGAAGCGGGAGTTTGTGGAAACCAGACGGCAAGGCAAGAAGGTGGACGAGCTCCTGCAGCGACTGGAATCGTCGGTGTCGACGGACGGTTTCATGGTTGAGAGCGGAAGCACCACACCAATCAGCAGGGCCGGCAGCTCATCAATGTAGCTCTGAGATCAGTACCGTGTTTGAATTCTGTCTTGGTATGCAGCAGTGCGAGGGCTCAATGAAGACGTGAAGTTGGCCCATGAAAGTGCTTGTTGCCAATTGGTAATCGGCAGAAGATCATGCGTTGCTGCACTGTATAAAGAGATGAAAGACGCTACCTTTGAAATGAAGCCTCAATGTAGGTAGGATGGCGTGAAAGTGGGTGATTAATAGTAGGGGCGGGGCAACCAAATCTCATGAATGAACCGTAGGGTAGACTGCTACAGGCCCGCCTACATACCGCCACTAGAAGAGTTGTTCTGTGGGTCGGCTTGTGTCTTGGTCGCACGCGTTTGAAAGTAGGTGGGTCGACGACAGCGGTGTTGACAATTGTCCAGCTGCCAGTGCAAAACAGTTTACTCGTTAGGCAGACTTTCTAGCTGCCTTTTATAGATTACCGTAAGCTCAGATATACCGAATATGTAGGACACTCAGTTACAGTTGAAACATCTCACAGCAATTAAATTCTATATGAATGCTGGTAGAAGGGCCCGCCACTTTGTCAATTGACTCTTTGGGCAGTGCCATGATCTGAGTGCATGTAACTGGTGAGTTCAAGTTACTCAGTAAGCGCCGCAGGCCGCCTCTCTTAAGTCAAGCTGCATGCCGGATCGCTCAGCTGGCATTATTAGAGATTGTAGTTCCGGGCACACTGCACTTAACGACCAGATAATATCACCACATGCGCGCCAGCCAGCACCGCGGGCCCGCGGCATGGGGTTGGCGCAAGCTTTGATTGAGCATGGCCGGATCAGACTCCCATATTCCCGGCATGCGGCCCCGGTTTAACGCACAAGCTACCTATGGTGGGTCCCGGCCGAGTCGACTTCGACTCAAACCGCGACGAAAATGTGGGACCCGGTATCAAATTTCGTCAGTAGTACCGGCGGTTCACGTTACGACGACTCGGACTTCCGTAACATGTACCCAACGAGTACTTTCAAAATCTTGCTCGGCCGTAACCGAGTGTCATAATGGTGTAACAGAGTGTTTTGATTTACACTTTGACAGAAGCATAAAAATGCCACACTATGAGGAGGCTTATGCAGCTTATAGAAACCTTTGACAAGCAAAAAAAAATGTTGAAAGGGCGTCATTAGAGGTCCTTTGAAGCTCCAACATCATGTTTTGTTCAGGACAAATCTCAAGAAACAGCATAGGAGGCGCAAAGTGGGCCGCCATTGTTGATTTTTGCAGAGCGCCTTTCCTTACACTGCTCTATCAAATTCCTGCACTCTCCTTTCAGTCTGGGTACCGCGGTACTCCTGCGTGGTTCAAGTCGGAAGTTCCGACCAAGACCATAAATTTCATAATCGATGTACGCGCAGACTCGAGCGGTACCGTACCTCCGCATAGTACGCACTTGACCGTTGATCGACGTGTCAGAAAAAGTTCAATTCATGAACTCAGACCTGATTCTCAAGTACTGCCGAGTACGGTCGTCAGTGCCGCGTACACAATTCGTCGCGACACGTAACACCGGTGTAAGAAATTTGAGACCGGACCGTCGCGCGGTCGATACCGTCGAGACCCACCATAGGTAGCTTGTGCGGGGTAAAAGCTAGCAGCCTATACCTATTTCATGTATCCATGCCGCGCCTGACACATATATGTACATGGAATCCTTGAAAAGCAACGACTCATTATTCATGTTATCATGCATGTGGAAAGGCATGCAATGAGGTTATGGCACATGCATGCCGCAAGGTAAGTACACCTATCTGCAATTTCATGCATGGCGATCATCCGTTATAGCGCAATGAGTATTCAAAATAGCCATGCAACTTGAGGCTCCAATTGACTGAGTCGAGTGCCTCAATCCACCCGCAGCTCACTCTTAACGTGTTTGATCCGCTTCCAGCCCTGCCCTACTGTGCCAATCTTGGCCATACCAACCTGAGAACTCAGATGCGCGAGGTACGACGGCGCACAGATCTGCAAATCATCACTGAAGTTCTGTGCCGGCTTGAAAGTGCTTATGCGGGCCTGACCGTCATGTCGGAGCTTTGTTGTCAATCAAGAGTGGACGCTGAGCAATACCACACGAGACCTTCTTATTGAATTGAAGCTGTACAAGCTGTAGGCGTCAGCCCGTTGACTGACTGCGATGCCCACAAGCGGTTTGCAAAAATAGCAACAGGTCTCGAGTCAACACCAACCTTTACGTCGTGTAAGCAAGATTGGCCCGCTAAATCTGACTTCTCAAAACGGCATCCGCAAACATAGAAAAGGTACTTCTTGCTTCAAGCCGCCGACCCCTTCCACAGCGTCGATTCTCATGTAGGTTGTGCTTAGGGTTAAAAATGGTTGTTGAGTCGTCCTCCATCTTGCCAGAATCAGCAACCTCGCCGACGGATGGCAAACAATAATCATTGTTGTTCTATCGCAGGTACAGAACAAATCTGTTCACACACACACAAAGCTCCTCCCCCCGCTCCAAAGAGCGACGTTTTTCACCCCCCAGTGGCGACTCTTTGCCGCTCATCGGCTGCAATTAGCAGATCTCCTGGTTCTCCGGAGAAAGCAATGGCTTCCCACGAGGCGGCGTTTTCTTCTGGGGGGGGCGGCTTGTGGGGGAGGCTGCTCTCGGGCCAGAGTTCGCTCCGGTCGTGAGCAAGGGACTGCAGAAAAAGGAAGTTCCGATAGAGCAAGGCAGCAATGGCAGACGACAAGGAGCAACGTATAAGAACCAGGTTCTTATAAGTCTTTTACTCTGTATTATGGTGTCATTGTATTCAATGAGGGAATGCTGCAACTGTTTCGGAAGATGTTGGTGAGGACGGTTCCCCGCAAGAGCAAAAGTACGATTTTACAAATGAACAGTTAAGATGTGAAAATCGGTTTGAGCTGCCGTCTTCATCAGAAGAACGTGCGGTGCTGACATCAAACACATGGTAAAAGAGCTGCAAAAGTGACACGTGGCAAAACGCGAAGTGGTCAGCCGCGCTGTGGTGTACTCAAAAGCACAAGTAATGCCCCCTCGAAGAGTATGAGAGAGTGAGTATATTGTGAGTATATGGTGCAAGCAAAAGCTCAACGAGAAAAAACGAGTGACGTCACTTGTGACGCCATCTGACGTCAGCCCTTACCTGGTTAGGTGACCTGAAGTACATGAACGGTGTGTAGCGCAGGAAGTTGGAGACTCGGGAAGTGTAAATGTCAGCGTATCTGGCGCAAGAGCAAAGCAGAGCTGATCATTAGAAAAGCATCGATAGTCCGACGGGATAAGGCGGCAGCAATTGGCGTCCACCAAAGGATCGGAGACTTTGGTAACAAAGGCTCCAAATTTGCTAAGCACATGCATGTGTGGAACTATCAAAGAGTTGCACAAATCCAAAGCCCACATGGCAAGAGCGCGAAAAGCGCAAGCGCATGCACATGAGCTGTTGTCCACATTAGAAATCATCATCCTCCCTCACTTTCATCAAAAAGGAGGGTTTACACTTCCCTCTTGATGATTTCGACTCGGCATTTTTACTTTCCCAGACCAACTATCAGCGTGCGCGCAACAGCGGGAGGACATTGGGTCACACTCGTCTTTCACAAGACGCGAGCAGTACTTGTCTTTCTCGTGGAGAGGATGTTGTGTTATTTGTGCAGTTAAAGGGTGTCAAGGTTAGATGGGCTTACTTTTCGATCTGGCGTGTTAGATGGCTCTTGTCATTTAGCCCGGCTCTTGATAGGTAGCCCCACCTGCGAGCAAAGCCGCAGAGCTCAGGCTTCAGTCGTACTCTTACAGTCATTCAAGCGACCGAGATGAGACTAGGCACCAGCCCTCCGTCTCAATTACTTCTCACCGTTTCTGGAGGCGCTAGGTTGGAGTTTCGCTGCCCGCACTTTGGCCTTGACAAGGAACGAACGAGTGGCATGGGAGCACGGCAAGGGAAGCAGGAAGAGGAAAGCAACGACGAGGTTCTCTCGAAAGCCGCTTGACAAACCCCCTTTTCGCCTTGGAAATGTAACAAGTGCAGATATGATCAGTAAAGTTGCAGATGCGCAGTCGAGATTGCTCTTCGACGCCACCCCTTGGTTGCAAGGAGGGGAACCAAAGAAGCACGAAAGAACGTACAAGAAGCGCAAACGATAGACAATGCGGCTCAGCCGTTTACTTGCGAACCTGTAGTTGAAATAGTTGCCATGAAGACCCAAGGATGGACAAGACAAAAAGGAGGATTGAAACAACCGAAGGCAAGTAGAATGGAAGAATAAAGGGACATCAAAAGATGAACTCGAATGAGAGGCTTCACTAAAATAGAAAGGACAGAAGCTTCTAAGGCGGAGAAGAATACAACCAAAGGCATCAGAAAGGATGAGAGAGAAGACACAATCCCGGGCTTTCCTGAAACAATTGAACTGAAAGCATTAGAATCGCTGCCCGCATGGACGCACCTCTTGTTGAAGTACTCTCCGTCGACCTCAAGCATCGGCACGATCTTCTTGTCCAGTTGCTCCATCAGCAGCAGGAGTGTCGTCATCTGTTTCGTCAGCTCCTTCTCGCTCAGCGCCGTCGCCTCGTGCGTCTTTAAAGGGAGACGCGCCGGTATGGACTTGTCAGCCTTTACCTCGATGAAGCTCGTTTGCCAAAGACGTTGATCAAGTGAAGTGATCAGAGAAGCCAAAGACACTTACGGAATAATTTGTCGATCCAGCCAAGGACGGTGGGACTCATACTCGGAAGTTGGCGTGTTGATTTGGTTCAGAAGTGTGTCCGCATGTGAACCTAACAATCAAGATAATCACAGAAGACAAGTTCCGGCTTCAAGTTGGCGTCAGGATGACAATTGTTACTTCAAGTACTCAGACTCGAACCGTACATATTTTGACGGTACTCTGATGGGGACTTATGCACCGTCCATCCGTTTGGGACTTGCATGTTCTACGCCCATTTCCAGCCATCTTATCTGTGCTCAACAAACTGCTCGCTGGCCTCGAATACGTGGAACAAAGCCAAGGGGTTCCAAGCCTGCGAGTCTGAGCGCACTCTCATTCTTCCTCGCTTACGGAGATCCTTCGTGACCGCTGTAACACATCCACCCACTTAGCTGATTCGTCAAGCCCCCACTTTAAGCGACCCAATCAACAGACGACTTTCGTCGGGTTTGGAGAACCTGCCCACCTGTGCGTCCCGCCCGTTGCCCCGCCTCTGCAGCGCCAGCCGCAGCTGGTTGAACAGATCCCCCACGCGCTCCTTCTGGTTCATCAGCTGCACCAGCCGCTCGCGGTGCGCACGCCCGCACGCCAGCGCGTCCACCTGCAACGTCAGCGCCACGTCAGCAAAGCCATGCCACGTCAGCTCAGCGACCCGCTGGTTCATCAGCTGCATCAAGCTCTTGCAGTGCGAGCGCCTGCACGCCAGGCGCATCCACCTGCCACGTCAGCAACGTCAAGTCACGTCAGCTCGACGTCAGCGCCGTCCAGGCAACGGCACTTTGTCGGATTCGTTGCCTGTCCGAATCAAGAGCCTCGGGACATGGGTCCTGACCAAGGTTGGCACTGCATGAAGCGAATGCATAAATCCGAACCTAGCAGAAACGGAGCTCGAGGAACTCATCCGAAACGGGCCGAGAATCGACAAAACGCAAAGGAGGGACTAAGACCCCAAGCGGGTACTTTGTGAAAGCGGGGCACCTCAAGAAGTTTCTCGGAAGTCAACCGAGATGTTGAAACCAGGTGTCCTTTCTTCGATAGCAGTCCAACAGCAACGGACTTCGTCGTCATCCTGTAAGTGTCAGAATGCATTCTCCACGAGTGTAAACATGCAGAAGGTAACAATCTAGGTCTGGTCTCCCGCACATTTTCGACCCAGAACAACTTGAAAGCTCTAGTTAAAAATTCCTTACCTCCCGCTCTAGTTCCCGGCACACGAGAGCCGTCCTCCAGCGCAGGTGCACTTTCGACACGCTGACGTCAGTGTAGATATGGTCGCCGACGTACATCGTCTCGTCGCCCGAGAATCCGAGCGCCTTCTCGACCATGTGAGCGCTCCCGCCGCAGTAGAGCCCACCTGAATTTTCGGGACAAAGGATCAGTTGGTGTTAAGGGTTTGCATTAAAATAACATTGGGGAACGTATGTGTTAAAAATTATTGTTTCGTCGCCCGAGAATCCGAGCCGCTCCTCCACCATGTGAGCGCTCCCGCCGCAATAAAGGCCACCTTGATTTTCAGAAGGAAGGACCAGTTCGTGAAGAAGGTTTGCTTAAAATATTCTACAGAAGAAGCTCGTATCGTTGTAAAGCTCAGCGCCTTCACCATGTGAGCGCTTCCGCCGCAATAGAGCCTACCTTGTTTTCGAAACAATGGAGTTAGTTCATAAAGAGTGTATGCAAAAAATATTATATTAGAAGTTTTCAGAAGAAGGTTGTATCGTTGCCAAAACCTTAAGCGTCTTCTCCACAATATGAGCGCTTCCGCCGCAATAGAGCCCACCTTGACATTGAGAAAAAAGGTTATTTAGAAACGAGATCTGCATTACGCAAACTCAGGAAACTTAAGTTTTGCAATAAGATTGTGTCGTTGCCCAAAATGCACAGCGCCTTCTTTACCATATGAGCGCTTCCGCCCGCAACAGAATCAGGTCGCGAAGACTCTTTGCATGCAGTAAATTCAGCAAACATTTCGACCAGAAGAACAATTGTGCCTTTGCCTGAGAAGCCGAGCGGCTTGTCTTAGATGCGAACGCTTCGCCCGCAATACAAATCGCCTAGGCAACTGGAACAGGCTGATCAAGAACTGACTAATTCTGTGTCTTGTTTGTGTACCCCCTAGCGTGCAGATCTGGTGTCCCGTCAATTATAGAATCAAAACACGTGGACTTCTGCCGCAATACAACCGCCTTGTACATTCGGAATAGACCGAAGTTAGCAACACGATTCGCAGGGTTATGACCCTTGCGCCGAATCAGTGTGAGCATGCCAGAGGAATCTCGTCTTCCAACCGTGTGGGCACTCCTCTGCGGAGCGGCAATGTATTGAAAACATGATCACTTGGAGTTTGAAGCACTTCACAATCTCAAGCTGTGGACGCACACGAGTGGTAAAACCCGAGAGAGCGAGCAAGCCCTATTTGCCATGTTAGATGGTTCGCAGGAACGGCGGGGTGGATCATTCCTTTAGAGGGTGTGCCTGCTCGAAAGGAGGTAAAAGACATCTCTAAGAAAACGCTGAAAAGGTAACAAAGTCTGTCAAGCGCTAAGGGCTTTGCTCAGAATTCATAAGAATGCCAAATGAAATGGAGAAATAAGCCGCCGCTCACCTGAGACTGCCTTGAAGCACGGCCTCATAAGCCCATCCTCCGTGACCACTTCGTACAAGGGATGGTTCTTCTGGAAGAAGTCGGGCTTGCGTGCCGAGATGATAACCTGGCATAAAAGCAACGGACGGCTCAGAACGTGCTGTCGACGGGTCGCTGGCATTTACTTTGCTCTTGCCACCTGTCGTTGCTTCTTTCGAAGGAGCTCTATTGGTGTTTAATGTGTGGATAGCCACCCTTAACTTCTTCCAGAGGTCAGAGTCGGCTTTTGTGAGGGGACCCGGAGTCCAATCGTGACAAAACCTTCAAAGATCGGATATTTCTGTACATCCTTATTGGGACAGATAGAAACACTTTGGGTTGACTTGCGTTCATGCAGCGATATCTGCCGGTCTAATAACCAAAAGCTGTCCTTGGTTTTCACGCTTCCGTGCAATAGAACCACGGTTGATCCAGACAACCTTGCTCGCAACTCCCGACAGCACGAGAAGTCCGGCCATTATGTTCAGTGTGAGCGAAGACGGAGATTGGAAGACTCACAACCAGCAGCTATTGCAAGCAAGCATCCGCCAAAATCAGCATGCAAGAAATCATCTACGGGGGGAAATTCGCATTAAACAATACTAGGACACAGAGAGAATGACGTCTAACCATGTCAAAGAGGTCCCGCCAGACCATGCCTTTCGGCAGGAACCGGTCGAACGAGTGCGACATCATTTTGCTGGTGTACTGGTAGTCGCTGTTAGTGATCAGCAGCAATCGCTTCCCCGCCTGCTTCTGGTCCAACAGCGTGGTGGGTAGGTCGGGGTCCAACTCGACGTAACGCTCTGCAGGCAGACAAGGTGTGGCGTTACGCAGATACTTAGGTGTTCCAAATCCGAGGCCATGCCGTGAGGGCTCTCTAAATTAGCATCTTTTCCAAGCAGCGTGATATGTATGTTAAGTGTTACGACTTCAAGTTTCGCTTCTTGCAGAAAATACAGTAAGGAAAGTTGCATCATTCAAAGGTCGGAACTACAACACTCGGATTGAACCTTTGCAAACGATAAATTTTGACCGGTTCTGGGCCCCGATAAACAGACGAGGCACTTCGCACGATTGCCTGACGAGATACGGTCTGATGCCGTTGGCTCTCCAACTATTCGTCAGAATCAAGACCACATTTTCGGAACTAATTCCATATAAAGGACCAATCTGGGCCGTCAGATCGCTCGCCGCAACTTCACCTGGGTCGTTGATAATTTCCGCTTTGAGCTGTCCCTCAACGTGCGCTCGGAACAGGGCCTTCGCGACGACCTGATACAGGCCCTGGTAATCGGTGCGCCCAACGTCGGGAGGTAAGAGGCCCTCGTCTAGCCGGTCGACCATCTGGCAACGAGAGCGGGATAGGTAAGGCAACGGCGATATCCATAAGGCATTTGCGGATTGGGTACGGTTTCTGCATTTTGGATGGGGCTTTTTGGAAGTTTGAGGAACTTCGATGAGTCGCACAAGGCGTTCCGAATCGGACCCTTCTGTTAACGAGAGGTCAACAAATTGGACGTGACCATTTGGAAAGAACCTCGCAGTTCGGCCACACGTTTGAATCAAGGTCATTGCCAATCAGTTTTAACGAAGAAATGTTGCTTCTTGGTTCCCTAACCAGATGCGGCAATTCAATTGCGGCTTTGTCGAATCCTTAATAGGATCCTTTGTCGGGCCAACAGAATTTTTCGACGTTTCTTTTTGCGTCAAGCATGCCCCTTGACAGCTCGATTCACAACGCTCGATTTGGGGCCGTACGATTGTCAGCAGCTGCCAAGCGGACGGCTCATAATGGCTTCAAGGTTCAAAGCTTGCAGAGTACTGTTCCGCAAACCAAAGCGAAGCAGAGCAGAGAGGGGCGTATTCCCACCTGCATGTACATGACTGCCTCGCTCACGCTGAACAGAGTGTTCAGAAACTCCCAGCGGCCCTCCTTGCGCAGGTCCACCAGCTCCCGCCCGTACACGTCGCTGCCCACGATAATAAAACACATGACGTGAGCATGACGTCAGACTCGGTAGCCAAGTCTCGCGGTTCGACCTCCGGGCACAGTTTCCACGGGTGGAGACCCTGGAGGCGGCGCCTCTCTTTGTAACAAAATGTGAGCGACACACAGCCAAGCGGCTTGAGCTCAAATCAAGGAAAGCTGAGTCTGAAGCGCGTGTCAGGACATTCGTAAGAAGAGGGGTTTTCAGCAGGCAACTCGAATTAGGCAAGCCTGTCAGCCGAACCCTCGCCGTGTTCCTTCAACACACCAGACACCGTTCGATGGATCGACGTAGACCATCTGCATCACAGAAGACCTGATACTATTCGAACTAGTATGTCGAAAGATTGGGAGCTCACCTGATTGCCCGGTTGCTGAGCATGCGCGTCCCGTGCATGGCCCTCTTGACGTACCCGAACCGGTCCGCCTTCACCAGATTGCCCCGCTCCTTGTCCATGATCAAGCCCCGAATTACCTGGGATGTGCGATGGAGCAGATGAGCATTTGACACACGAAGTCAGTGACCAGGCTACTGACGTGGCAGCCATCAGCACTGAAGATGGTCAGCCAATCCGGTCCTGGACAGGTTGAAAACGATGCAATCATGTAATAGTCGGACTATTCATGATGATAAACGCTGACAAAGAAGCTGTCCAGATTTCGGAAAAGCTTGTGCTGAAACAACTGAACCCTCACAGGCTCTTCAGCGCAAGCGGTCCAGTGAGGAGCCCCAAACGACAGTTCACAATAGCTCACGAATCGGGCTAGAATGTTCCAAAGAGGAGACAAGTTCAATTAGGACGCATTCACCAGAGTTAGGCGTAACGAGGGATCCGGAAGCGAGAAAGCGTCTTTATGTCGGACCACAAGTCTTTGCTAAAGATGACTCACCAAGCAATCTTGTGACAGGTGAAGAAAAGGCGCTGATATTACGGCTTACCAGGTCCGGGTCAAATTCCAGACCCTCAACGGGGTACCCCAGCCGCCGCAGGTTATCCATGCCGTACTCATACGCTCGCCCCTCCCACTGCCGCACGTTGTAGTGTATAAGCGTGTAGTCCATGTCATAGCCTATGGTCGTAATGGAGCGCAGATTGACGGTGCGGCTGCAGAAGATGCCGCGCGACGCCTGCCCCTGCGGGAAGTGCGTCTGCGCAGGAAAACAAAGCGCCCACGCTATGAAATCGCAAAAACTGGCCTTCTTCTGTTTCCTTCTCCAAAAGGGCGGCGCACGATATCGAGTTGCCGGTCTTGTCATCATGACTTCTCTCTGCATAGAAGCCAGAGAAGTCCAAAGACACATCTGCGTCTGTTTCACTTGCCGTGAAATGGGGGCTTTGTTTTCATTGTTGCTCTAATTCTAGTATCTCCATTGCCTAGCAACTTACATGAGTATGACGTCGGGTACCTTTCTGGTTGAATTTTTGGAGATCTTCCCGGTGCTCAGACCCATCATTGAAGGATTGCAAAACCCTTCGGATCCTGCACTACTGGAGTGTGTGCTTGATACTCAAATGTCTAAGAAGTTCGGATTCAAGACAACATTCTGAATCATCCTTTGGAGCTTTCAAGCACACACTAATAAAGTGAACGTTTGTGTGGCATGCCAATGCAAAAGTCGCTATAGCTGTGCTTTATGATCTGTCAGATCTGCCAGCCTTTATCATTGAGCATTCGTGATCGACCTGTCCGATCCGAAGGTGGCATAATTATAGTCACAACAGTATCCGAGGCCCTTACCGGCAGTCCCAAGTTCCGGAGCATGTTCTCTGCTTTCTCCGCCTCAGCGGCTGCTTCCTTCTCAGAGCTCAGATCCACGTCATCGAACTTGCCTGCATGTAGAAGGGAGTCAAGCTTCAGTCCGCAGAAGTCGTAAAAACTCTAAGCAAATTGTTTCCGTCATACTCTGATTCCGGAACCCGAGCAGATAGGGAGAGGGTTGGCAAAAGTGCGTGTCCAGAAGAAAACCAGAGAAACAGTCTAAAATCTGCACAACTTTCTGCATCGACGACACATTTTGTGGTCTGTTAGTTCGATAAGTGGAGGGTAAAGTAAGGGAATCAAGAAGGAAGGAGAAGCTCAACGCAAGTGGGAAAAGGGCACTTATTTTTAATTCCTTTCACTTCGAATCTCTATTCTGGGCCTGCCAATGCTTCAACATTATTTTTGCACTGGTAAGAGGCCTGCATCGAGTTTCCAACCTGGAAACCTTCTGGAAGTTTACAGCAATGACCAAACAGCTCATAGTCACGCATTGATCAGGACGTGATGTAGTAAAAACAAAGACCTTTCAGAGTCATCCTTTAAAGGTATGGATCATGCCCAAATCTGGATGAAGGGCGTACGTTTGTCAAGTGCGCGAAACTTACGGAGCCATGGTGTCCGTATGTCCCGCATATTCATATCAAACTTGGTGCTCTCCCCCAGGTAATCCACGCCCGCATCCTTCGAACTCTCCACCACGTAGAAAACATCGTCCGGAGGGGGGACTGACCCCGAGCTTCCTGACCCCCCGCCTGAGCCCACTGTCGCACCCAACTTTGCGCTTTGGCCTCCGTTAGCTCCACCACCTACTTCTCCCTCCTTCTGCCCCGCAGCCAATGAGTGGCTGCCACCTGGCGCGGCACCGCCACTTCCGTTCTTTCTACCCCCGTCCTCGGCACCCTGTAACTCCGCTTCCGAAGCCCCGTTCCCCTCCCCCCCGTCTTTGTTCCACCCATGCTTCAACCCCAGAACCGCGGCATCTTCCCGCGTCTCCTCGTCGCCAAAGCCCTCATCCTTGTTCTTCTCCGCGTCTAGTTTCAGCTCCTCGACTTCCAGCCCGAGCGGCGGCTTCCGGCTCGTCTCCAAGAGGCTCTCGAAGAACGCCGCGCCGCCGTCGCTCATAGTCCCTGGCGGCGTCTGCTTGTCGCTGCTGTCGGAGCTCGACGAGCAACGGACGCTGGGAGATCTCTGCTTCGCGCTACTGCCCGCATTGCTCAATGAGCGATGCCTGAAAGATCTGTGGTTCTTGTGACTGTTTCCCTGGCCCTGCGCTACAGTTTCCCGCCAATGTTGACTTGGGAGCCCAATTGTATTCGCAACTCCCACGAACTCATTGGAAGCGACGGGATTGCAGTAGGGTGTATTTGTGAGAGCAGAGCTGGGCTTCAATTGGGCATTGCTCCTTGTAGAAGTAAAACGCATGACAAAATTAGAAGAAGTTCCCATGAAGGAAGAACAGCCATCAGCTTTGGTACTACAACGACGGGGGCTGAGGTTTGCGTTGGGTTTCCGAGGCCCCCCTCCGAACACTGATGGTGCTACAGAGAGCACCTCCGGAAACTGTAGGCAGGCGGCCCATGTCAGAGCCATTGCGTGCGTTGCACGACTTACGACCAGAAACCCATACTGCTATTGGGAGACAGCCTTCGACTTGGACGTCCAAGAAATCAAGCAAAGGGCCTCAATCCCTTCGCTTACGCGCAGGAGCATGATAGCGGGCGATGTAGCTGGTCCATGCCCCTTCGATCGAGAAACCCCGTTGAAGCTCGTACATTTCAAAAATGTTTACACGCATAGGACAAGTGGCTTTACAAAGTATGTTTCTGAACGCCAGCCCGGTCGATCCATCGTGACCTCCTTGCAGAATCAACCAATAGTGTCTGAAAGAGGCAAAGCCCTCAATCAGTGCCAGCTCCACAAAAGGTGGAACCTGTCTACCTGCTAATCTCTACTCCCCCTCAAGTTCAACAGGATACCCGGCCGTGAATGCGGTGTGGTCGGATTGCTGTGGAGAGTGGCGCGAAGATAACTTCTGATCAAGGGAATCTTCTTTTCTCGAACTAGCCGGGGCGAGAGCAATCGCAGAATCTCCGAAATTGGTGAATTGCAGCCGTCGGTTGGTCTGCAGTGTGGATATCGACGGTTTTGAGTCGAGCTGATGGACTTAAAAGTGCCGGCCGCCCTGGGCCGTACTTAAATTTACAGACACAGCATGAGTGTAAATCTGTTCTCGCAGTCACGAAGTGAGATAACAAAGGAATGCTGGGGTCTCGAGTCGTGCTACCTTAGCCTAGGTACCGTAGCACTTCGAAAGCAGAGCTCTGAATCTAGCTGTAATCCCTTCAATCCGATCCGCTACTAAGGGACTCCCTTGCTTCAGCAAAACAGGGAGCTCTTGCATGTGAGTCTGACAGGGGCAACAGGGGCCAACTTCTAACCGTCGCCATGACCACCCCAGCCGGCGCACCTGGTGTTTACAATCCCCCATTAGGGCCAGCTCCACCTGCAGCAACGGCTGTCCCCACAGTGCACAAGGAGGAAGCTTATGATGACATCCCCATTGCGCAGCCCGTAAATATGGGGCAGGGGGGTGCCCCTACTCCAGGGATGCCATACAATCAGGGGGGGCAGTATCCGGGGGAGCAGTTTCCGGTATGTATGTTTGGGATCAATGCTGTGACTTTTCCAGATAGGTGAATTTGATTTTTGACGTGCTGATTGTCGAGGCATGCTGTTTGTTGGCTAGTGGTAGTTGCTTAAGGAAGCTTCAGTCCTGAGTTTACTCATGTTCTGTTGTGTGGATCGGGGTAAGAAAGACCATCTTTTGAAGGTTTGGTTCTTGACAGCTGTGCGAACTGCATATTAGGCACAGAGTGCGCTCAATATCACGCTTGATACGCTTAAGAGGAAAATCATTCTCGATGGAAAGATGTTTGAGCCACTTCCAGTTTTTCTATTGTTCTGTTCACGCTGTTTTAGGGGGATGTTATTTCTTCGGTTGCTTACTGCCTGAGGTGTCCGTCTCTGGTAAGAAGAGTAATCACCAGTTCCCTTCTTTGGGGAGATCGATATAATCTTGGATCTCGTCAAAACTTCTGCGAGGCCAATACCTCTATGGGAAACGTGTTTTGTCGTTTCAACCCTGAGACATCCTTGAACACGAGAAAAGGCGATGCGATCGAACTTTTCGACACAGTTCTATGCCGGACTTGCTTATCAGCTTCACATGTCTTTCACGCCACCTTGGTTCTGTGTTGCCACCCTAAGCACCCTTAGAAGAGTTGACCAAGATATAAAGAGGGAGAGAAACAATTACTGCTCTATTTCAGATAGTCTTTGCATCTGGCATTTGACAATGACCTTTCTTGGACCGGCTACTAGTAATAGACCCCCGCATCTATCTCCCTTTCGTCTGAGCCCGCTTCGAATCTTGCGGAACATACTCAACATACAGAGCTTTCCTTGTCTTTCTTGTCTTTCCAAGTTACCAGTGATTACCACTTCCTGAGAACTGCTTAGCTCCGTCTCTCCTTATTCCGCAGCCTCAGACTGGTTATCCCCCTCAGCCGGCGCCACCCCCAGGTTACGGTGGTCACCCAGGCTACGGCTTCCCTCCCCCTGGATATGGCCCTGGATTGATCCCCCCTCAGCAGCAATTCCCCCCCCAGTACAAGGCTGGCATGGTGCCCGAAAACGCAATCGTAGGACCCCCTGGGAACCTGCCTTTGGCGTACACGTTCTTTGGCGACACAGAGGCGCCGTACCACTGCAAAAAGTGCGGGAAGAACGGCTTGTCGAGAATGGAGTAAGTCGCCGACGACTGTCTGTTTGACATGATCTACGGTGCTCGAGCCGACTTCATGCTCACTGACGTGAGACTTTGTCTTGCTGGATTATCTCTCTGCCTGACATATGGGCTTGGTTTTTCAAATCGATAAACGCTGTTCAAGTTGCTTCAAGGCAGTGAGCCAAAATTCACGTGTTGTCGTGCCAAGTGTGAGCCACAATGTGTTTGACCAACATCTCGTGTTCCAAAGCTTCACAAAAGGGGTTAAGACGAGTTCAATCTTGGCAGAGTGACCGATCGTCACGAACCCCAACTCTTTCCACCCGAATTTCCGTTCTGTCATCCGCGCACCCGTGCCTTTGTTACTGAATCTGCCATGTTACATTTGATTACCTCCTCCCCCGGTAGTGTGCTCGTTTCTTGTTCCTTGAAGTTTCTTTTGGTGTTTCTTACGCCAACTTTTGGCAGGCTTTCAACATGTTTCAAGGGTAACTTCATTTTGCGGTGGCCTTCCGCGTCTGCAAGCTAACCGTCTTCAGTACGCTGTCCCATACTCGATTGCACTGATCGGCTTGTGGCAACAAGCGTCACAGATTAGACCAGATACCGTGCACTAATTTTCAACCTTGTTTATCAGCTTTCCTGGATGACTGACATCCGCCAGCGCTTCAGACAAGTCTCATGTGAAGCCGTTTCAGACCTATGGGCCACATGTTTCCGACCGCTGCTTTTGAAGGTCCCTTTTCTAATAGTGGACCTTTCAACTTTCTGTTCGGTCGAACGCAGCTTCCAAACGACATACAGTTTCGAGCCTTCTTCCTGCTGTGCCTTGAGTTCGATGCTCACATTCGGATCCCACCAACGCTCGGAACCCAATCGTCCCCGCCACTTCAGCGATTTCCGCACTTACCCGTGATTCCCTACAACCTGAACAGATATCCACTCGTATCGGCTGGGATTGATAGAACAACTTGCTTGTGGGTGCAGGCACCATTTCAGCCTCGCGGCGTGCCTCGGTTGTGTTGTGACATTGGTTGGCGTCTGCTTCCTGCTGCCGTCCTGCGACTGCCTCTGGAGCAAAACGCACTACTGCATACACTGCGGCGAGAAGGTACGACTCCCAAGCTTTTGCGTTCCGTCGTGCATTGAAGCATTTTGGACCTTTCTATTAAGTTTCGACTGCCGTCAGCGTCATGGTTTCTGGCCCTTGAAAACCTATTTTTGAAGAGCGGTGTTATGGGGTCGCTCCGCTGCTTCCGCTGCGAAGAGAAGGTACGATTCCTCTGCCCTGCGTTCTACTCCACAGGATAAACAATATAAATCCGGTTTTGGACCTCTCCTGTCCCCATTGGTTGGAGATTGAGGAACTTTTGGTTTGCAAATCCAGTCCTGGAAGAGCTTTGTCCACGAGTTTCCTTATACCTGATAGTGGTTCATTGTCGCCACCATTGCATTATGTCGTTGCTGTTAGCGGTGAGACTCAAGAGTTTGTAAGGCAGACACGGCTATTCAAGCGTTTGTGCAATTGTGTGGGTCGAAGCAGCAGCGTTACGGTGCTATTGTCATGGTGAGGAGAGCAGATTGTCTCTCCCAGCGGGGGGACAATGGCACCCCTACAAGCACGCGCCTTTGCAAGCATCCTACGCCGCACCGAACGAAGCACAGGTCGCTTACGAAACGGCTGCAAGAGTTCAATTGCAAGTTTCAAAGGCTCCGACGTTGTATCTAGAGTCATTTCCGATGTTCGCAACCGACCACTTGAATTGCCCGCACCGTTTCTAAAGTTTGCTGGTCACGATTTTGAGTGATCACTTGCACTTTGCAGGTTGGAGTTCACGACAAGTCCGATCCGTGCCTGGTGGCTGACCCGCCGAATTACACTAAACTCAGCTACGCAGTGCCGGCGTCAGGTGGCAACCAATGACGTGGCGCATGGAAATCATGTAGACATCACAAGCTCCTAATATATAGGTAGACTGTTTTGAGGGGAGTACGTGTTTTACTGTACAGAGCCTTGTTTGCACGTATTGTAATCAGGAAGTAGTGCACGATATCTTTAACGTAGAGTCTGCGGAGGGTTGCGTCTAGGAGCCAAGAGGTGTTGGATCGAGGATTAAGCATTGAAGGGCGGCAGCGACTTTATTGCGGCAACAGTCAGACGTTTTGCTAGCCGTCATTGACAACATATCACGCGCGTCGACCTCATGCTACTGCTTCCAGTGTAGTGAACCATTCGGCGCTCTGTAGACAAAATCTGAGCTAGAGATATCATGTACGGCATGTTCATGCCTATCTGTTTATACGCTAGTACAAGTCACTGTCATTTGCAGCAAATAGGATCCTCCAATCACTTGCGGAAACGCTAGATATACTATCAGGATCGCGCCGGCCATGTTAATATTGCCCACTTAGGCAATGTGCCACGTGGTACGTTACAGCTTATTGGTCAAGTTCAATGCTTTTGTGCTTGAAAATCGCATGAATACAGTAGCTACCAGACAGCGTTGACCACGTCATGTATGATTGAGTCTCAGAAAGCTGCATGCACTTCGGCGTGAGTCATCTTGGCCGGAGACGTATAAACTTAGTGGTTAGCTATCTGCGGATTAATTGCAATATCTTGCTGATAAACATGCACACATGCACCACATCATTGTCTCGGAATCAAGCTAGTCGTGTGCATGAATCATTGAATGCATGTTCAGTGAGTCCAGCCTGCGTGCTCATGCCGTGTCCAGCGGCTGCCGCGCGCACGTGTGACTCTCCAATCTTGTTAACGGCCGGCCTACTAGTAGGGCATGTTGCGATGATTTGATTCAATTGGATCGATCAAGGAAGACAGAGTATGCATGAGACATGCATGTTGCAACCATCCACTCAAACGAGAAGTGCCTGCAGTTGCTATGTAGCAGCCCATGCTAGATTGCCGCCTAGGATTGGGTCCGTAGATTCTGCCCCTATGCTAGACGTGGCATGTTAGACCTGGTCCTGACCCGTTGAAAAATTGGCCCGTCCAAGAGTGGCCGTCCTTACCTACGTATGTGCCCGAACCGTGCATCTTGTTTTCGACCCAGTCTCCTGTGTAGGACCGGCCATCTTTCCACCGGAAGGCCCCCTTGCCTTGGTACCTGTTCCGCACCCACTCTCCGTCGTATATGGCACCACTCGCATAAGCGAACATACCTGTAGCGGCAGAAGCGGCATCTTACCGTTCAAAATTCATTCAAGTACCGAAGACGTCACACGAATCACCCATAGAAAATCATATTGGATTAGAGGAGCAGGGCACCTCGGGCATTCCGACGGCCCATTTTATGGAGGCCGGATCACTTGTTTGGAGTGCACTATTCGTGCTCGTCTGGTCAAGCTGTTTCTTTTCGGCATGATCGACCGCGCTCGGAAAAATAATGACTCAGGGGCCAGACCCCCCAGCAAAGCAATGCCCTTTTATTTGAGCAACCCTCTTGATTATCTTAAGATGGACTCTGACCACCAACAGTAGACTGCTTGCCTAAAGGGAGAGCGGTTTCGCTAGATTAGACAAATTGTTGCTAGGCCCCTTCATTCAAGCCCGTCTTGAACACAGTCGACAACACGCTCCGCATACGAGGTCATCCTTGTGAGACAGAATGGCCAAGATTTGACCATTGACCGTTTGCCTTTTGACCCGAGCTTCTCACAAAGCACGAAGACGGATTGAGACTCCGGACGAAGGTTCTGCATAGCGGGTCTGTTCTGACGAGAATCCGAAAGCCTCCATCTGCAGAAAGCAACGGATATTGGATAAAAGTGAGAGTGGGTAGCTATGCAGCTTCCACAGGGGACCAACCTAAAAGATTCATCGTTCCCACAGCCAAGTCGGTTCAGATGCAAAGGCGCACCTTTTCCGTGCATCTGATCGTGGTCCCATTCCCCTGTGTACGAATAAGTCCCATCCACAAAAGTTCCCCTCCCGTGCCGAAAGCGTCTCCCATTCGCCTTTTCTACTGCTGGCGCCGCTGGGGCCGCGCTCTCATTTGCTGGCAGAGCTTCAAGTATCCAGTCGCCCTCTGCACGGTGAAGAAAGGTTCTCATGATCCAACCAGTCAGGTTGAACCAAGTCTGAAGCCTCATCATGGAAACCTGGAACATGTGACATGTTGCACCCCAACTCCTCATGGCACGTGGTGTCTTAGGCCGCTTCATCCATGCGGAAAACTTCGACAACTTTCAACTTGATCGCTCGATTTCGGCCAACGACTTCTGAGAAACCTAGTGAATAGATCTGAAAGCCGTATCTTTCTTGGCCTAGAAAGTGAGCCAAAATCTGTTGGGCTTAATGATTCTCAAGTTGGTGTCCCCGAAAAAGGACCCCAGAGGTACATTCGAGGGCCTACAGATGTACAGGGGAATGGTTTATCTTGACCGACAAGTTTGGCCTGATCCTTGGCTTTCTTTCAATCTGCGCAGACACGAGTAGCTATACGTAAAAGAATCAAGATCATAAGAGCACCTTCATCTTGACCCGACCACCCGAGTCTGTATCCAGCTCCACAACTGAAAGAAGTAGACCCTCGAGATGCTGGCTAAGTGAAGTTTAGAAAACGTACTGAATAGAGTGAGTCTGTGTCGGACTTCTTATACAACTTACCACGATAGAGCCTTTTGTCGCAGACCCAGCTTTCTTTTGCTCAGAAAGTAGCCTATCGCATCCCCATCATGTGGTTAAGATCGGTCACAGCCTGACCTCAAGAATACTAGAAGATTATCAGGCCAACTTACCATATGTGGCCCCGTTCTGATAGTGGAACTTTCCAGAACCTGAGGTAGGCTCGGGGGCAGCTGCATACAACAAAGGTTGTGTCTGCTTGTAATGATTCTTTCAGCTCCCGAGAGTAAGTTTCGATGTCCTTGTCTGGGAGTCTTAGCATACCTTGCAGGCTGCTGGATCATCCACAAGATGCACAATCTGCCCAGTCTGTTGGAGTACAGGCGCAAAGGCCTATTCATGTGCAGAAGCAATCATCGCAGAAGCTAAGCTTGAGGAGGAAACTCGCTGCGCAACTGTCGTTGAGCTTGTTCAGCGGCTAGAACGTCTGGAACTGCCTTCAATTGCATAACGGAGAGTATCAGCCAGTGCTCTGATACAAAACTCAGTGTGCTAGTGCACTGATTCTCTGCAGCGTAATCCAAGCCTAATCCAAGCTGCAAGGTCTTTGGCAGCATCCCGAGAGACTGAGTTTCATATCACGAAAAAGCAAGGCAGCATTAAGAAAGCACAGCACGAATGGAGATCCTGCGCATTTACCCTGCTCCCCCTCCCCTGCCTTGTCTCCGGCATCTTTGCCCTTCTTATCTGTGGCCCCTTTTCCCTTTGCATCTGCAGGTTTTGTTTTTTCACTGGGAGTGCCGGGCTTCCTGGGTGTTGTGTTAGCAGCTGCCGCTGCGGCCGCCGCAGGCGGCTTGCTCGCCATGCTTCAGGACGATGCTCGATCAGTGATCTGGCCTCGACTTTGTGAGCTCACCTCATTGCTTCCTCATTGAGCTCAGGAGTCAGGGTCGGATGTTGCTCAGGATAAGCTGGATACACCTGGCGACACGAAACCATCAGATGTAAACCTCCGTAGCACTATGAACAGCGCTCCTCCAGAGTGCTCACCCCCTGAGCTCCTCAGCTCCTTGAACTTCTTGCTCCTGAGCTCGAACCCTGAGTTCTGAAGTCTGGCGGGCCTCAGATTAGGGTTAGGGTTTGCATTTGCAGGGGGCACGATTGAGAACTGGGTTCATACCACACAGTTTCAAGTCTACGCCCGCTACTAATTCTGTCCCCAGGAGACGTACAGCCCCTGCGCCAATGCTGCATGGTACTGTACCGTAGTAGGTAGCTGCGTTGAGCACTGCATCGCTGTTCTGGGATCTCCGCCACTGGCGCACCTTAGAACGTCTTTAAAGAAGCGCTTGCATGTTAATCAATCGGAAGGGGCGAGGAGGGGAGGAATAGCTCCCATGGCGCTACGTTCCACAATGCTGAGAGGACGTGGATGCCTTTTGCAGAACAATTGCATACTTGATTTTACAGCATTGCTGGCCGGCAGCAGCGCTGGTGGCGCGACAGAGCCTTGTCCTTCCGCTAGAAGAAAGCTTGAAAGTGGTGCGCATGTTGGAGTAGATATTGAGCAGGGAAGAGACAGCGATGCAAATGAGAAGCTTTTGCATGCAATAAGAGCATCGTCGCTGTGTCTGCCGCGACTTGGCCACCTTCGGCAGAACATAGAAGTGCGCAGGACCGCTGGAGTGGATGTGGCATCTCCACAGAGCTTTGGAGCATCATGTTGCAACTCGCAGTTCCTGGCAAGAAGAGGCTACCACAGTAGTGGTGGTGGTCTTCAAAAGGCAGACGTGATCATCCCTCCGCCTGAGAGGAAAAGGATGCAAGAGACTGGAGACAGGAACGTTGACATCTTCGACCGCGAAGTGAAGAGGAAGCATGTGAGTTGCTGGTCTCGCATCAGAGCCCTCACCTTGATGATGTATATCAGCCCAGCAATCATTAAAGACATGCATAAGTATGCCTTCTTGCCCGGAAACCCACATTGTTTGCAACCAAACATTTTGATGCTTTGTACCTTTGGTAGGTGGCACTCTCTTTGAAGGATTTCGATGCAAGGGTGGTGCAGCCTTTTGATGATACAGGAGTAGTATTTGCCTTGAGCGCATCCAAGGGTGGTAAGAGTCTACTTAACATGTACTTACTGTGGTACAGATCCATTCTGATCAGATGTATTGCACAAATTTCTGAAACTGCCAGCGCATGTTGTTTCTTTCAAATGTGTTGGCTGCTTCAAGCCTGCCTAGCCTCGTTGCCACTTCTCATAAAGTCAGGTCTCTGGAGCAACCATCAATGATCTTGGAGAAGGTATGGATCATGATCTGTGTATGTACGGTCTCACCGACTTATCTCTCTTCTGTTCTTGCGTCTCAGAGGGACAGGGCCGCGCTGATTGGCTCCCTGCAAGACCCCTTGCTAGACCATGTGACTGACTCTCTGCTCGACCGTCTAGAAGACATCAAGCGCGACTTCCCAGTCGCCCTGAGCTTGGGGGGAGCAGGGGATTCTGTTCGGAGGCACCTGAGGGGCAGAGGTAAACTGCAACTCCATGATGATAACACGTTTAACTGTGATAGCAACACCTTTACTGCGGGAGAAAACGTATGATGAGAGCTCATGTGTTTGCCTATGCTCTCTGACAATGTTTTGGATGATAAATCTGGTGATATAAACTCAATAGTCGAACCTGGGGAACGCATTCCAGCACTTGCTCCTCACTATGAGTTTGAGTAGCTCATTTTCGACTGGTCTGCAGTCCCCACAGTCGGTCAACAAGCTCCACTCAGTACGTCACTTTTTCTTGATTGACTACTACATGACTCTTTCCCGCCTCCATATGTCTCAATTGGTCTCAACCGTCTTCGTTCCGAGATTTGTCTTCTACTGATGGAGGGCAACCAACAGAGAGCTACCCTTAGGCTTCTCGCCTAGGCCTGCACGCCCCAAGGCGAGGTTTGCTCACAAGCTTTCCTTGCCTTCTTCGTAGGGAACATCCAGACGCTCTACCAGATGGACCTCTCCCAAGCGATGCTTGACCGTTCGGCCGAAGCGCTCAACGCACCAATCCCCCCCGAAACCCTCTTCAACCCCACAATGGAGGCGCCAAGTACCTCAAACCCTTCCGAGCCTCGCTCGCTCGATTCGGACGCATCTGAAGTGCCAAGCACTTCCGGACGTCCGGAAATCCAGTATGTGGTCGGGGACGAGGAGCTGCTTCCGTTCCGAGAAGAGTCCCTCGATCTAGTTGTGAGCTCGCTGGGGCTCCATTGGGTGAACGATCTTCCGGGGGCAATGATCCAGGCGCGGCGCGCTCTGAAGCCAGACGGGCTGTTCCTGGCCGCAATGTTCGGGGGCGAGACGCTCAAGTGAGTACTAGGGGCAATTCTCGAAGAGTCTGTTGTCTGACCCGTCACCTGTTGATTTCCTCTGTTGCTCTGTGTTTGCATTTTTGCGTCCAGAATGCTTTACTAACCGTAAGGGCACTTGCGTTTCTGAGGCGAATCAGAAGGACACGATGCAGTGCCGAAGGTCGCTGCGAAGCCACATGAGCGAAAAGTCAATTTAGAAAGTTCCGCACTGTGCAGAGATTGGAAACCTGCTCTGGTTGAGGGATCCGAGCACTCGTTGCAAAGACACGAGTTTTGATCATGTCGCCAGACTGTCTTTCCCGCAACACGGTATTGTAACTTTCACCTGGGCATTGGTGCATATTGTTGTTCGGAAACGTTGGCATGGGTGCCGAATATCCAGCTCCACACCTAGGCTCCTCATCGTAGTAACTTACGGTCAGCCGCAAGCGATACTCGCCGTTTCAACCTTATCAAAGTAACGCCGGGGAGAAGTGATGAGCATGGCGTTTACCTAGCCACGTGGGTCCCTGAATATCTTGGATCCAATTCCCTTATGCCGTTGCAGACGAAGGGGCAGGAGACTTTTCTCACGGTTGTAAGGTTTATGATTTTAGGGGTTTAGGGTGTTTAGTCTCAGGGTGCTAGGGTTTTTACGTGCGGGTCATTTATGCGGTTTGGCGTCGGGGGTGTGACGCTCTGTAAGGGGCAAGAGGGGTGGCTTTTGAAGGTCGTGGTTTTACAAAACCTTCCGTCAGAGAAGATCGAGAACTCGAGCGGATCTTGGGTAGCTCGAACCGAGATTTGCTTGGCGCGTCTTCCTCTTGCAGAGAGCTCCGGATTGCCTGCTCGGTAGCGGAACTCGAACGAGAGGGGGGCGTGAGTCCCCGCGTGTCTCCTTTGGTGCAGGTAAGCCCTCACTTTCGCTCGCGTAGGGATTGCATTTGGTGATCGAAGTCGCCAGAAACTGCTCTTGAATCATTCAGTTGCGCGAGGCGTGAGCAACTTCCTGGAAAGTGTCAGATGAGCAGCCACGACGTTTCAAGATGACTGCATAAATTTGTTTGCAAAGCAACACCGGTCTTGGTAGGGCTGTTTATCAAAGAGTTTCATGAGCATACTCGTTTCGTTTTACCCGTTCGTAGCTTGTCAGGCCCGATACAAAGAGGGTGCTTTTGACCGCGCACATGAATAACTCCTCCTTCACGGCTGACACATGCCTTTCTTTGCTGCCGACACGTGTCCGTCTCTCACGCAGGTTCGGGACGCCGGCAACTTGTTAGGCCGTGCTAACCTTGCGCTGCCGGCTGTCGACGTGGACACTTTCACCGTCAACTATCCCAGCGGTCAGTCATTGTTTCAATCTTGTGTCAATGTAGTCTCTGGCTGGATTTATTTGAACCCCAGCTCTGTTCTGCCTGCGTATGGATGTTCCCTTGCTTCGTGTCTTCGAGATAGCGCACCTGTCACTCCATACTTTTTCATTCCTTCTAGGATTCTTGTCTTCTAGAAGTGGTTCAGAATCTCTCATGAAAGAAGGTCCTAAGAATCTTGTCTCTGGAGAAGCAGTTGGCGCTGACGTTTCACCAGGCCTGTTAGCGACTAGCATTGGATTTCGAAACCCTTCATGTCTTTTGAAACGAACGGATGGATCGTGCCCTCCGTTGCGAGCTTCTTCGATTCCGCCTCTCCCGGAGAACAATTCACACCCCACCCCGTTCGCTTGCAGCTCTTGAGCTAGTCGAGCATCTTCGCTCCATGGGGGAGGTCAACGCCGTTAGAAACCGCCGCCTGGTAAGTTTCTGTGTTTACCTGTACCGGTTTGGGTAAAACGGCCACGGTTCCATGACCGTCCAAGTAGAGGCGACTATCGGCGAGCCGTCCGATTGCCGAGTATGCCTAGCGGACGAGATTAGGTAGAGTGGTGGCTTGGAACCTGAGGCTTGACGATTCCAGGGGCCACATGGATACGCGCACTCACGTCAGCATGGGTCTCGTGTCACCTGATGGCCCAAGTGACATCTCGAGGGGTCCCGTCAAGATGCTCGTTTCGTGTATTTCAAACTCCCATCCACTGGCTCTGGTTTTTCGAGATGATGGCCAAGGTACCGGATGAGAGTCGACTCCGAGAAATGCATTTTAAAAGCTCGCGAGCAATCCTGGGCTCTGCCGGTCCTTGACCGACGTTCGGGCCGCCAGTCGCCCGCTCACTGATTCAAGGCTCACCTCCTTCACGCAAATGTTCTCGTCACTGTCGTTTCGGTTGGAAAGGCGCCCGTTGCTTTCATCCCACTTCTCCATGCTTGACCAGAGTTCGCAAGGGCAAACTCGCCCAACGCATCAAAGCCGCAGAAGCTTTTCCCTCTATCCTGAGGTCGTTTTCAATCACAAACCTCCTCCATTATTTCCACTTTCGTAATAACTCCATCCCGTCCGCCCTTTGGCAGGTTCTCCCACGGGACACAGCGCTCGCGACCGCCGCTGCATACCAGAGCATGTTTGCGAACAAAGACGGGAGCGTCCCGGCAACCTTTCAGGTGCGCCGACTTTTGCTTACGTGGATGTTAGCACTTCACAGACAAAGCTCTTTGCTTGAAACTTGCCGTCCTCGAGGCCTCGCCCATTACATGACCCTGGAAGTGCGAAAATGGACGGTTCAAAATCATGTAAAGCAGGTTCCTGATTGGCACGTTCCCTGATTGGCACGAGGGTTGCCAATCAGGGGGTTGCAACTTTCTCGCAGAAAGCTGTACCAATTGGAGAGCGCTTCGTCATAAGACCGCCATTGGGTCCTGCTTGCGCGAATGCCAGCTCTGAGGATACCACGCTCGAAAAGCGCTTTGTCATCAATTTGCCAGAAGCACGATTGCGCGCTGAGCTTGACCTCTGATTTACCTCGGGCAAGCTGCTGAGATGTTGCTCGGATCGTAAACCAACCGGATCAAATTGGTAGCTCGTAAGTATGCCGCCGTCGGATGCTAGTCACAATCATCAACCTATTAACTTGGTGTCTGAATTTGGCATTCAAGCGATCCAACCTTTCACGAAGTTTTCCAAGTTCCGCCGAGGTAGCCCTTTACGGGAAATGGTTAGCGTTTGACTCCCAACCTCGAGATGTGCAGAAGTATGTCACCAGGATGCAACGATTGCTCTTCGGAACGGCTTTGAAAAAAGAGAGACGCGCTACAGTCTGTGCACTAGGAATGTTCCCTTCGTCGCCTAGCAAAGTGCAACATGGAAGAAAAGACAGCAACTTCCGGTCTGTCCACAATCCAAAAAAGTGTCCTCAGGTCTGTACGGCCCAGAACAGTGCGACGACTTGAATCAAGAGCTTTGTCCTTCAGGTGATATACATGGCAGGCTGGGCACCTCACTCTACCCAGCAAAGGCCGAGGCAACGGGGTTCGGCTACCGTCTCACTTGAAGACTTGGCCCAGGTTGTGGAATGGAGGCCGGAAGGAAATGACCCTAAATGAGTGGCGCAAAAATGCCTTTTTTCACAAGATGTTGTTGCCTTTTGCTGAGTCGATATCTTTCCGCATGCTTCTGTGTGCTTCATGTTTGCGTACTGGTTCCATCATTTTCAAGTAGCTTGCCAGGATTCATCAAGCAGCTCAAGAGTATGACGTCATTCACAGGATTGCATATCCTGTGAAGGTCCCGTGGCAGCCTACTTAAGTTTTCCTCTTTCTAGATCCAGATCAATTAGTTTCAAGCATAAGATCTCTTTCACTATAATATAACTATTTCTTAACATGGTTAACGAAGAACCCAGGTTTTTTTCCAGAATCTAAACGCCTAATGAGGGATTTGCCCATCTATTAGGTGCGTTCCCGGTTCATTTGATCCAGACGGCACAATTGAATACTCGGGTCCAGGATTTGTCTCTTAAACTAGCTCAAGTTTTCCCTCTTAATATCATGCTACTACCTAGTTGTGACATCGCCGGGGTTAAATAACTCAAGCAATGTATTTGCAACATTGCTTATATCCTTTATAGTGAACCACATTTCACGCGTGCGCGTAGGCTTGCTGCATAAGACATTGACCGATCAAATTTGCTTGCTGCGGCCTAGCCAAGAATTGGGCTTAATGCTGATGTTGGATGGTTTTGATAGGAGGCTACCTACATGTATTCCAAAGCGGACCTAGATTAGGAGAACGGTTGTATATGCTCTAGTACATATTCTGCGCTTAAGCATGTGAACATAAGGCTATTCAACTAACATGTTCCGTATTGTACACAACCGGCCCCGCATGATTCCGTTTGCAATGAAGTTTTGCTTGCACCTTCGGCCTGAGGGCGCCTTGTAGTCGCTATCCATGCTTAATCAAGTCTTTTTGAAACAACTTTTGCTTGAAGTCGTCTCCAATCTGGATCTGACTCTCATCACCAACTCGCCGGGACCGACTTTCAACGCTTTACTACTATGTATGCATGATGAGCAGTGAGCGTATTACCTAGAAGCGCACATGTGCGGAGGAGCCGATCGAACGCGGCCGCCAAAGCGCGTGCCCGAAAGGTGCCCGACTCAACTTGAAGGTCCGATCTCAAACTCAGTAGGTAATTGAAAGATCAAGCCCTCCGAGTCCAAGTCTCTAGAGTCCTAATTTCAACTGGTGACCTTTCCGGATCCTAGGAGGCGAGTCGCCGACAGGCTCGAAGACCCGTGGGCCGTACACTCTTACAACACTGAATTCGCCCCAAATTCCAATTCTTGTCTGCCGGCCGACATGCTTGCATCATGCATGACACCTCTTGATGCGAGGTACCTACCGCCTCCCTACCGCGGGTCAAATTGCCTAAAATGACAGGAGTACAGTAGGGCTAGGAACCCTAACCCTAGGAATCCTAGGTACCCTAAGTTCTAACTCTGCCTTACGGTACCTTTTACATTTCAAAAGTAGCCACGTGGGCACTTACCGGCCAGACAGGCCGCGCCCACATAAAGCCGGTAGGGTCGGGGTCCGGGCCCGGGCGGCCCTGGGCCCCTGGGGACGGTGCTTTAAAACCCACCTATCAGACAATTATTAGGTAATTGTCTGATACCAACCTACCGGTAGGCTAGGATTTTAATACCGAGGTACCTGGGTCTTTAGGTGCATTCAGGTTGGCCCCGAGGATTAGGTACGGCTGACTCCGAGCCCGGCCTCGGCAGGTGTTTTCTTGAGCCGGCGAACACATCATCGGACGGCCGAGAACACTGGAAAAGGAATCTTTAGGGAGGGTATATTTTGATTCCTTTCCGTGCTTTCAGGGGTTAATCCGATAACTTTGAAAAAGTAAGCTGGTGAGAAACGTGGTTTCATGAATCTGATGGCCCGGCGCCAGCTTTTGAGAGCAACCGCGACCGTACGAGACTCAGTCGGCAGTCGGAATTTCTCAAACAGGTGCGTAGCCTATGGCAGCTACCGGGCGGGCAAGCTTTGCGACCGTTCACACAAATGTCAACTCAATAGGGTCAACAACTCCTTGACCATGGTCAACGGCTGACGATCGGCGACGTAATCCCCGTTTGCAAATTGAATGATTGCTGTCTGTAGTACAGTCTGGTACAAGACGTGCGTACACCGGATGAACGTCTTGATACTTGAGCCATATGCCGCTCGGCAAACCTCGGTGTCATCGACGTGCTTCCGATCTGGTCACTCTCGATCAAGTAAAGCACATGAAGCGTGTAGGCTTATGAAATAAGATATTGATCATATATGATCCTCTATATATTGTATCTAATCACACAGTACACTTCGAGCAAAGCTAGGCTGGTAGTGGCTAAATACCCTTTTGGTTTGTCCGAATATATATTGGTAAATGGTCCCTTTCTGGATTTGCAGAGTCGTTTTAGATTTAGTTTCGATGTCGAACCTTGGGCCGGGCATGTCGTACCCCGGTCCCCAGATTATCGAGGAGATCTAGGCCGGTACCGTACGAGTTCCGACTTTCCGAGACTCAGAGCAACTGCCTGAGTGGGTACACGTCGCTCGAGCCTCGCAATCGAGGTACCGGCAATCCGGATTGCTTCCAGCCGCCAGCGCAAATAAGCCTACCCCGCACGGCGCACGCCTCAGACTGTGTACGTACAGTACGTTGCAAGATGTACCTACACACCAGTGCAGTGCGCACTGCTGTACAGGAGTACCCAGTTGAGTCCGGAGATTTGAACTTGTCCTTGTGCTTGCGGGCCGGTGAAAACGCAAGCAAAGCAGCTTTGAAGTTCGAAAGCTGGACGCTATTACTACTATTAGTATCAGGCGGTTCAGTCTTCAGGCGATACAATGCAGCTTGTAAGACAGAGTAGCGGTACCAGCAAACCTCGGGCAAAACTCGAAGCAAGATGCTGGCAGCTTATATGGCCCTGAGGAGCTAATCTAAGATCTTATAGGTACCGTAGGTAGGAAAGGGAGAAGGTCGGACAAGATTTGATTCCTTTCTCCATGATGGCAGGGAAAAGATACCTCTCGAGAGTAGCAGAAAGGCCCAGATTGCCTGGGCCACGAGTGCCCAGGCACGAGTTCAGTCTGGTTGTGAGTGAGAATGACGCAGCTGGAACGCACCGCATTGAATGCTGGAGCTGAGAACGTCGCCCACGTCAGGTGGGCTGTTGCCAAATCTAAGCCAGCTGATCGCGCCATGAGAGAACTGAGCTATGGAGTGCAGATGTGCTTCCTGCGAGAGGTGATCACATGTGGGCAGGATTGGAACCCGGCGAAAAGCCTTACAGGAGCTGATCATATCCTTTTGCCAGCAAACAAATCAGGAAGAGATAGACGCAAGAAAGGGCAGGTTTAGTCTGCAAGGAAAGGGAAGCTGTGGATTCATCATATAGGTTCATTGGCGAATCTGTTTGCAGGTGGTTGGAGGGTTTTCTGAGACTTTCCTTCAGAGTACTTGATTGGTGAGCGCACCAACTCCGGTGCGGTCTGAACAACTAGCTTGTTCGGTTGACAATTGCTCTGAGATTCCACTTTAGTCTATTGATGGCTTGCAGAGCAAATTCTACACCAGATAAGGCACCTATAAACGTGTCTTGTGTAGAAGCGAGTATTCTGATTGACGCTGTAGGCATGCGGTTCTTAGCCGGAGTCTTATAAGTCCGATACGAGAAGATTGCATGGGCCACTGGGGTTCTAAAGTCATGAATTTAGTCCAATCCAAAGAGGTGCTGCTTTTGGCTTTTGTAACTCCCCCATTTGGGTAATATGAAGAAGGCCATGAGCTTTTGCGTCAGATGTTACCTGATTGATCCTTCGCCCGCTGTCTGCCAGTGAAGCTCTTCTACCGGGGGTTCCCGCTTCATCAAGTCTAGAGTTGCAATGTTGGCAAGCCCCTGTTTGAGGTGATCAGAAGATAGTGACGTGTCTCCGTCATCTGGACGAGTTTGTGGCTCAGTCAACGTATCCTGTTAACATCACTTGAAATGAAATTCTACGCCTGAACCTGGTGACTTCAAACAAACCCTGGGGAGAAGCGGTTTCTGATGCCTTGTCTCTTCTACAGGTTTGATTTTGAGAATCTACATGCCAGAAGCGGTGTTGTGTGGTGCAGAAACTGCACTAGACCCCGGCGTTGCCAGCAACTTTCCCTCCATACTGCCTAGTATCCAGCCCCGCAAGTCACAAGAAGGTCTTGTCAAAGTGTTCACTTTGCGGATTGAGCTTAGGGTGTGGCATTCTACAACCATGAGGGACTTGTAAAGTTGAGCCGAACGGGGTCGGGGTTCCCCATCAAATGCGGGCGACACACTAGGCGGCGGTCTCTGCAGGGATGCCCTCGCAGTCTCCGCATACATGGCCATCGAAGTCAGCCATTTGTCGCCCAGCCCCCTAGCCCCCAGCCCAAGCTGGGGCTTCCTTTCTCCTGCCTTTGGCCCCAGAATGGACCTCATTGGGCGCTCAAAATCGCGAGGGGGCGGCGGCGGCGAGGAACCCGCCCAGGGTTTTGCTAACCTCCTCCACTTTGGCACTAACCCGGCAACGACAGGCGGGCAACTGCAGGTGGAGTTTCCGGGGCTAAGCGGGCCGCTGAGCAACCCAGTTCTGGCGCCTACGGCGCTCATCGAGCAAGCAGAAGCGACAGACACGCAGGGGGGGCGCCTGGCAAAGGGTGGGAGTTCGGGGAGCGACGACGCAGCCAATCAGAGGCTGCCACCTGGTGGTCGCAAGGCGCGCGTCGGGTTGCCACGTCAGCACGACAAAGCCGGGCCCGAACTGAGCCCTGACCTGCGTGGTTTGCAAAACCTGCCCGGCTTACAAAACCTGCCTGGATTGGGCCCCCCTAACCAGTATGGCGATTTCAGCCTGGGCGGGATGACATCAGCGGTTGCGGCCCTTCTGAGGGGTTCGCCAGATTTCATGGTTGAGGGGGGGTTGGGGCAGGGGCTGGCTGGAGGGGGGACTGGCGGGACTGTAACACCGAACTGGCCAGTCTGGGGTGAGAATCCAGAGGAGGACGGGATTGGTCCCGTCTGGTCGGAGTTGCTCGTGCCACCACCCGCGGGAGAAGGAGAAAATGCAGACGGGACGGGTGGATCGCATCAGGTGTGCAATCTCGATACCTGACCGCTTTGTTGTTGATAAGCAGACCAAGCTCGTGCGTTTTGGCACTGATCCTGAGGTCCGTTCTGATCCAGAGTGTCGGCCTTCTCTTTTGTTGCGGAGCAAGGAGAGGGTAAATGGTTGCACCGAAGCTGGGGGCAACTTTCTTGCAAATGTGCTGTCATGTCATACTCGGTATTTGGGATCGCCCTTGGGAGCAACACGCAGGCGCTAGGATGCAGCGTGGAATTGTGGATTGATCAGGTTGTGATTGATTTAAGGAGCGCCAGCGCACCTTAGATATGCTGGGTAATCTGGTGAAAGTTTTGGCAGATTGGCACTAGTCGTCGACTTTCTGCAATCGCAGGACTGCCATTGTAAGTTTACCTGTGCATGTTCTTTTCCTTCGAATCCAGGTTTCATCGTTTCATTCTGGGGCGGCGACTCGTGCATTGTGAACCCCTTTTGTGACCACAAGGGTCCAAGCGTCCTGCATGGGAATGAAGCGCGCATTCTGGGATCAAAATGGAGAAGTCCTGATTGAGTGAGTTCCTGACTGATTGTCTGGAATATGTGCAGAGACAAGGAGGCACTGTTGCTTCGTTGTTGGGGGGAGGACGAGAACTGAATCTTGGCAGCCTCAGCAGGTTTCAGTTGGAAAACAAGCCCTCACAGTCATCGGTAAGTGCTTGGATTTGCCCATCCAAAAAGCTCCTGGATCTGTTTGGCAATGCTCGAGTTTCGTGTATCATTGTGTTTCTTCCTCTACAATTGTTGCTTATTGGTTTACGCGTGAAACTTCTATGGTGTTTGTGGCCAGTGAGGCCTGTGAATGTATTGAGTTTCAAGCTCAGGACATCGTTGACAGCAGCATTTGCAAATGGCAACACATTGAGCCTCGAAGTGCAGATTTGAGACCACAAAATCGCCAGGTAGGAGGCTCGGATCTAGTTTGTGATGTCTCAAATTGCTGTGGCTCACTCTTATCAAGAGACCGGCCTTTCGATCAGAGGAGCAGACCTTGCGCTCCTTGAATCAGGCCCTCAGAAAGGAAGCTTGAAGGGTTCTCGAAATGCAAGGGACGGGCTTTTGAAGCCGGAAATAAACAAAACCTTGACTTGCAAGGCATGCACCTCTGATTGCAAGGCCGGGGCTTTTTTGTCCTGGAATCTGCAAGGGTCGAAGTGCACGGATCAAGGTGCTCGAAATGCAGGGGAAAACCCTCAAAATGCATGGCTTGATTGAAAACATAGGTGCGGGGTGAGCCTAAACTGAGTGTTGAGCGGTTTCTCTGCAAGGATTGTGCTTTTCCTTGGCTTTTGAATGCAAGCAGCAAGTCTCGAAGTGCAGGGAACAAGCTGCTAAAACGAAGAGGTTGATCTTCGAAATACAATGATGAAGCTTGGATATGCTTTGTCCAAGCATAGTGCTAGAAGGAAGCCTTCAGAATGCAAGGTTTATGCTAATGAATGGCAAGGGGTGGGGATGAGAAGGGTGTGGTATTTGTCTTCGAAATGCAAGGGGTGAAGAAGATGTCACCCTTGATATGCAAGAAACGGAGTTTTAATTGAAAGGAGGCAGTTTTGAATGGTTAGGTGATTCGAAGTGCACTTGTCAGGCTCCCAGACTTGTATTCTTGGTGAACTTTTCAGAGTGCACAGGGCAGGCTTTCGAGAAGGATGAATGAAGTCTCAAGATTTGTTGCAACAGGCCATCAGAATGCTTAGCATGAAGTCTGAGAAGTTTTAGTTGAGTTGTGGAAACTTGATTGGTAAATTGGCGGCCATGCAACTGATAGGTTGCCTGCATTGTATCTTTTTTCATTAATTTTCATGCCATTGGACTGCTTCACATCTCTCTTCTTCTTATGTTACATCGAGCTGGTCGTTTCACACAAGATGACCCGTTCATTGTCGGTTTTCTGCTTTACAATCCTTCTTTGGAGGCCTCGGCTCTGGTCGAAGTACGGTGGCCAGTATGCTGCATCTTCGTCAGTAGTGCTCCATTACAGTTCTGGTTCCTAAAACTGGTCACCCAAGCAGTACCCCTGAAAGATGTAGTCACTTTTGGTGTCTTGCGTAGGCTCAGCACTCGCTTTGTTGATTTGTGGTAGACAGATTTTTCAACCTCTTCTGGAGCAATCTGAAAGTGGTTTGTAATGGGGAATGCCACCCTGCGCTGTAACTGGTGGAGCACGTATTTTCATTCGTAGATTCTCAAGATTCTTGAGGAAGACTTTGTCATTCAGGGCATAGTCTTTCACTTTGCCCGTATCCTGAAGGAGCTTGATCCAACAAGCCCAGGTCTGCAAGAGCTGGACTGTCCAAAGGCATCTGGAAGGGGCATTGTGTTGCTATAATATCAGTCGGGCTTCAATCGACTCCTCCTCTGCAGAAATCTAGGCCTGACAATGTGGTTTCCATCTCAAGCAAGATTGAGGCAAGGTTATCAATGTCACTCCCACTTTCACTTGTTAGACTAGACTCAACTCTAGATTGCGTTACCATGCTTCAGTCCCAAGGTCGGGGCAAGCTTTCGAAGCCAAGCTTTTTGCCTTGTACAAAGCTTCCAGGAGCCCCTTGTGGCGTGGCAACTAGATCGAAATCAAGTGACTGCAATCCTTCTATCATGTGTGGAGACTGTTCTGCCTCTCCCTTTTACCCCCTTGGATTGCTTGGGTTCCTTACAGAGTCTCTTTCCCTCTCTTCAATCCGAGGTTCGAAGTTTCGGGATTGTTGACCAAGCAAGCAATGATGCCTGTACTCTTTCCAGTCCCTTTATCCCTGGGGGGCCTGCTTGAGAATGCTCTTTCTGATTGGGACACTAACTTGTTACATTCTCCTCCTCTCAAATCCGACTTTTTGGTAAAATAGATTCTGCTGGCAAGCTGCAGAGAACTTTCTTTCCTTGGACAGATTGTGATGGCCTCGAGAAGAACCATGACTACAGGGGATTCTGGTCGTTTTGACCGGATCTATGTTACACAACAAGTAGCACTAGCTCACTCGATTCGACATTGCACTCTGCTATTAGCGACATCCATGTGAAGAGCGAGCAAAAGCTTACCCCCTTAACGCCCCTCACAATGCTTTTCCCCCTTCAACAGTCTGATTCAATGCTCCCTCCTCTTAACATCTTTGTACTTAATGCTCCCCCCTTAACATCCGTACTTATTGCTCTTCCCCACTGAACATCCATTTACTTAAAGCTCTACCCCCTTAAACATTCGTACTTACTGCGTTCCCCCCCCTTCCGCCGCAGGCCTCGCTCCCCGCCCACTTGCTCATCCCTCAGCGACAGTTCAGGCATGCCCCGGGCGCGCATTTGGTCCAGTCCCTCCCCCCCACTTCCAGCCCTCTCAAGCCCCCTGGGAAGGAGGAAGACTCTTCAGGGGGGCACCAAAGTCAGGGAGTCCGACACTCCCAGCTCGCGCCTATGCCAAAGCAACGGCTGAGATGGACCCCCGAGCTGCACGAACGGTTCATAAAGGCAGTGACGCATCTTGGGGGAGGCGACCGTGAGTCTGCAGTCACCTTTCTCGATTGCAAACGAGCAGACTTGTTGGGAAGAGAGAGCTTTGTCGAGATTTGTTGTCTTCCTATATTTGTGCGGTTGTTTGCTGAGCATTGTCGTGGTACATAGAGTATGCAACAATTCTAGTCACTTCGATTCTACTTCCTTTCTTTTCGGGTAAAGCCAGAACGGTCAGAGGCCGTGGCATTTGCAAATTTTCTGACGGCATTCGCCCGTTCATGGCAATTGTAATCAAACCTAGACTCTGGAGCGATATCTCATCTTGGCAAGGTCTCAAGTGCGGTTGTCTCTTGTAACATTTTCTCACGGGGCTTTCGTAAAATATGGAGCGGACACTCCTTTCAATTCGTCCTTCTCGACGTCCTTTCTTTGAAGAAAAAGCCGTTCTGCTGAATCTGGCTACAATTCCGATTACCCAAAGAAAAAAACCGGCAGTGAAAGGGCCCGACAGTATCTGGAAACACGAAAAAAGCCAGCTTCGGGCCGATAGGAGGAAGCCTGACGACCTTTTGGGCCTCGTCTGCTTCAACTTTTGCATGGTCTACAGAATGGATGGCAGGGGCCCCATGAATTTGGTACGATTGATCCAGGCCCATCATCAGACGGTGATTTCCCTTTGATGCGCCTGGCTGCAGGGCTTACCAGTTCTTTCTGCTATCTGAAAGGGAACAGTTAGCATCAAGGGAAGGAAAATTTCTCGAAACAGCAACGAATCGGAAGCACAAGCAGACATGCTCCACAAACCCATCCTAACCCCGTTGCTAACCCCACCCAAGTCCTTCATCACTTAAAGCCGAGATTAACACAAGGTTCACTTTTATCTGCAGGGGCCACCCCTAAGGGCGTCCTCCGGATGATGGGTGTACAGGGCTTGACAATCTACCATATCAAGAGCCATCTCCAGGTGCGTTTGATCCCCACCCCCCCTCCTAGTTTCCTCATTACTGCCTCCACTATGGTCGTCCATGGTTCCCACTGTTTACCTGCCCCCAATATCAGCTTCGTTTCCGTTTTCGCCACTCTCTAGTTTCCTTCTTACTGCCGACGCTATTTACTTCGTTCCTGGTTCCCCCTTTTTGAATTTTCCTTGTTATTGCCCCCACCTTCAACCTGCTTCCTCTTCCCCCCCCTCTCTAGTCCCCTTATTACTGCCCCCACTGTCAATCTCGTTCTTTGTTCTCCCTCCTTCTAGCTTACGTTCTTACTGCCTGTACTATCAAGTTCTTTCACTTTTCCATAGCCCCTAAGCCCCTGCTGAATTTTCCATCATTTTCCTCCCCCGCTGGTTTCCCTCGAGAATTACCACCTTCTCGATCCATTCAGCATCGTTGATCTCGTCAACTTTTCTTCCGTTCTCCCCCCCTTTCTCTTATTTCCCCGCCTACTCTTCTCGCGTCGTTTCCCCCCTACTCCGATTCCTTCCCTCCGATGTTTCTTCGAAAGCTCTCTCTCTTTGTTGCCTATATCTGTATGCTCTCCTATCTTCTCACCGATTTTTGTATTTGGATGCTGAGCTCAGATGTATCGCCACCTTGTAATGCTACCCGCCATCTAGTCGTGTGCCTTGTGCTCCTGTTGAGTTCAAAAACGCTCCTTGAGTACAGCTTTCCTTGTAAGTTGCCGCTGTTTACACATGCGAGCAGAGGGGTTTACTTTGGATGACTTAGCCGTGTCTACTTTTCTTTCTCAGAAGTATCGCTTGAACAAGTACGACGGGCCCGAGAGCAGTCACTCGTCGCAGCCAGGACCTCAACACGAAGCAGGTAACGATAACGACATTTTCATGTTCTCCAAACCTTTCGGAAGAATCTCGCACGTTACATCGGTCGATCCAGCTCTTCCTGGTCTCCTACGATGGCCTTGAGAGCAGACCGAGCACCTCGGTGAGATCGCCGACCGTTCAACGCGAGCAGTCACTCTTCTCGAAAAAGTGTGTCTCTGGTGAAGGGGTCTCCGAGTTGATTTGAGCATTCAGCGGGCAATTTAACAAGGGAGGGAGTCGCTTTCGAAACACCGTTGCCAAATGCTTGCCTTACAGAACTGTGCTCCCCCCACATTGTAGCGGAGGCTCCAGAACCGCTTTCATTGCCAGTCTCAAAAGCGTCGATTCACGAAAGCTCATTTGCTTGGACCCGTTTTCAGGTACTCCGGACTCACACCCCCCCACAGCCGAAGAGTCCTTCAAAGGCCCCCCTAGCCAGGACAGCCCCCGCGTCAAACCCCCGTCAAAACTCGTCGACTCTGCTAGTACCGAGAACCCCCCTCCCGGAAAACGGCCGTCTAAGGGCAAGCGCAAGGTCAAAGAAGGGGGCGAGTTGCAGCGCCAGAACAGCGGGAAGAGCTCGGAGCTGAGGAGGCCCCTGCTGACGCGGAAAGGGTCGCTTGACCGGCCGCAGAAGAACATGGACGTCATGCAGACGTCATCGCTGAACCTGGCGCACCAAGCGAGCGCGCTCAAGCAGTGAGTCCCGTTCCGTTCTCCTGCTTTCCCTCTTCCGCCCTTCCGTTTCCCCGTGTGCGACTTCGTTCTGCCGCCCTCCTTTCCGTTCGCCCGTCTCCTTGTTGAATCTGCCTCGTGCCATCTCACACTCTCTTTTCCCATACGTCCGTTCCCCTCTGTGCGTTCCTCCACTTTCCATCCTTGCCCTCTCGTGAATCTGCCCTCCTCGCGCGGTTCTTTCGCTTGCCATTTTGTGCTTCTGCTTTCCCTTCTCTCTCTTTCCTGTGTCTCGCTCGTCCCCTTTCTTGTCTCCATTCCACCACCTTACGCTGCGCTGTTTACTTCTCGCCCCCTGCTGTTTGCTTTCCTGGTCCCGTTTCCTGCTTCGTTCCCTTCTCTCCTTCTCTTCGTGTACGTCCGGAGACGTACCTGGCCGATCCGCGGTTAAAATCCGAGTGTCGAGAGGCTTGTCGGCCTCGGTGCGCCGCGTCACGCCAAGTCTCGGGCTGACGTCATCATGTGTACATCAGACAAGGAAGTTCCGAATTTTGAGCTCCGGGACATGGGTGTGTTATTTCGGTCACAAAACACAAGACAGACCGCCTGGCCGGAGCATGTCGATGGGCGGCCAACGGCCCACCCCTCCACTCATCAAGGGCCACTGGTGATCGATGACGTCACGTCTGACTGCTGACGTCACCTCGTGCAGGGTCCAAGACGCGCAGATGTCGGATGCGCTGCAGATGCAGATGGAGGTCCAGAAGAAACTGCACGAGCAACTCGAGGTGAGGCCTGGTGCTCTGTTTTGCGAGGTGATTCTTGTTGGGTTTGTTTCTCGTCGTCCAGAGAGGAAAAGCGTTGGGGGCTGCTCGAGTCGCTCACAGGTTGCAGAGGGCTCCTTATTTTGAACATTGTCGACGGGATCGGGTTTTGGAAAGCGATAGAAGATCTGGGCTCCCTTTCTTTCTTGGAGGTTTTGAAGTCGTGAAAAGGTTTCGAGACAGCGAGCATGTTCTGACCCAACTTTGCCCAAAGCTCCATGGAGGTTGCTTGATCGGAGTTTGCAAATGTCCTTTCGTGCTTTACTAGAATCTAAAGGGCACCGTTCGATTAGGGCGCTTGTGTCATGAGATTCGGTCAATGGACGCCTGCAAGAGACGTCCGAGTGTACGATTTGATCGTCCTCAGGACTGCTGACAAGCGAAGACACCGGCAGAAATCGGATCCTAAGCACCCCTCCAGCCGTTCCGTCGTGCCATAACACCGCAGACCGTCCGTTAGGCTGGCCTCCAACTCGTCTTGCTTTACGATCAGAGTCCTGTCCAATCTTGCCAGTCCCTGACTCCTCCCCCCTCCCGTCTCAGATCCAACGTCAGCTCCAATTGCGCATCGAGGCCCAAAGCAAGTACCTCCAATGCATTCTGGAGGCGCAGCAGAAGGCGTCGCTCATGCTCCAACAACAACAGGCCGCCGGGGGGGACTTTTCTGGGGCGCGAGAGGGGCAGCCCTTGCCCCCCATTTCGGCGGCGGGCGCGTTCTCGCTAGCGCTGGAAGGCCGAGCCTCAGCATCTCTCAAGCCCTTTTCGCTCCCCGACATGGATCTGCAAGCGCCCATGCTGGGCGAGGGGGGTCAGGGTTTCGCTGACGTCAGCAGTTCGGAGCGGGGGTTCGTGCCGTACGAGGTGGGGGGGGCGGAGCTGCCGCCGAGGAAGCGGAGGAGCAAGGAACTAGAGGCGACGCACTTGCCCCTGGAAGAACCGTTGCCGCTGCAGCCGTTTAGCGAAGCTGTGGCGCGGATATTGGAGCACGGACCGCAGGGGGCCGAGCTACGGCAGTGGTCCGAGAGAGTTGCCGCGCAATCGACGGGCACGACTTCCAGCCTTAGCAGGACTGGGCTCGAAACAGAGGGGCTAGCGAATCTCGAACCGATTGCGAACGCGTGGGAGGTGGGCGGTAACGGTCTCGGCGACAGCGGCGCGGCCGCGGCCCTCGATCTAGCGGACGAGCACGCCAAGGAGTTTGGGAAGGTGGAAGGCGACCCGTGGCCTGCGCCGTTTGCGCAAAACGACGTGGACCCGGCTTCGCAACTGGATCGTCAAAATGCGAGGGGCTTTCAGACGGGGGGCCTCTCGGGGGGTGAAGCTGGCACGCGGGGCGGGGGGCGTGGCAATCACGTGGCACCCAATTCGTACAGTTCCATGATGCCCAGCGAGTTGATCGAGTTGAATGTGCCCCCGCAAGAGTCAGAAGTTGCTTGGACTCCAGAGAACAGCATCATAGAGGATGGGCTGGGGGGCCTAGAGAGCGACCCGACCTTTGGACACAGGGATAACGAGAAAGACGGGCCGGACGACGGGGGCGATACGCAAAGGCCCACTACGTGATCACCGTTCGTTCGGACATACAGATTGCGGGAGGTTCGGCGGAACCAACGCGCTTAGTGCACCTATGGTCCTAAGATCGAGCTTAGCATAGGTTATTTATGAGCCTAGTTGCTCCGGCGCAATGCACGCATGTAAACTTTGTTGAGCTTAGGTGCTTGGTCAACTGCATTTTTTGAGTTTCTTTGGTCCAGATGGCTTTCTGTGGAAGTGCTCCAAAGTTTGGAAGTGGCCCAAGTTTGGCTGCTGAAGTTTCCCTACGTTATAGACGGTTTGATCTGGATGCTTGATAAAGCAACTTGTTCAGGCGAGAGAGTAGATTGAAGTAGTACATCAATTGACAATAGATTCCGCTTTAATTTGCCTAGTAGCACTTGCTCGTAGGCTACGAAAAGCTCTTAGTACCTGAAAGGCCTATGATATAAAGATTTACCACTGTCAGTTGTGGACTTAAGAAAAGGCTATACGTAATCCTTACTACATATTGGAAGCTAGAGGTGACTGTAAAGCTCGATAAATTTTGCGAGAGTTCATGCAAAAGGTACTGGTCGCGTGTCCTGACTTTAGATCCTGCAACAACTTGAGACCGACTATCAAAGTGAGGTTCAACTGGACTCGTTGCATGCGTCACTTGTGATTAATTGTGCAACAATTATGATGTCTTAAGTAATTGCATCAGTGCTAGTAACATATGTATTGAATCAATCTTCGCTCTTGAGTTACTCTGCCAGTGCCAGCCGCGCACGCATGATCCTCGGACTCCAAAAAGGACTAAAATGTATCACCGATCTGGCCCCGGTAATTTAAGGTGAAAATTCACTGCACCTAGGCATGCAGTCCTAGGCCCGCCGAGCTGCACTAATGGCACCCGACTGATGGCCTGCATGCATTAGCTTTCAAGTGCATATGGGCGTCATAACAGCTGTCCGACCCGGCGCGTTGAGTGACTGCAATTAGAAGAATGCACCCACTTCAATGATCATGCAGATACCATATATGCACGTCGATCGTATCGATCATACAAAAGACGAGGCGGCTTATACAAATCTAAAGGCTTACAGCACGCTACTGCACCCAGCATGTACGTACGTATGCACGTACAAGTTACTGGTACGAAGCTTGCGAAACTTCATTGCTTAAACCAGGTGTAGTTTATCGTGGTCGACTGGGCTCAGTGATTCACGATATTCTGAAGCAACATGCGTGATCAAACGTGGTCCTTTAAGTCAAGCAGATGACTAGCAGCGTATGATCTACATCATTTGAATGACCAAAAGCATTGATCTTTACCTTTAGCACGCTACAAGGAGCAACTTCTGGAAGTACCAACGGTCTCCTTTTTTATCCTAGTACGTGGACGTTATAGTACCGTGACCGAGAAGTCTAAGCGGGAGTCTTCTTAGCTAGCCCAACTCTTCGCATCTCCGCAGAGAGCCTGAGGTTGACTTCCTTGCGAAGCGGTTCCGCACGCAACTAAATATTTAACCTGTCCTACTGAAACGTCGACTGTCATACGTTGGCTTGATTACAAGCCGTGCGATTGAAGTGGCAGTTGAGGCCCTGGGTTTCTAGTGTGCTGCAATGGCGGACTCGGCATCTTTGCGTTCCTGCCATTCCTTAGGGAATCTGCACAGAATCGACAAGCATAACTCAGCGCGGGAGCCACGTGGACAACCACTCGCTGCCAACTTTCGTAAGACTCTTTTCAGAGAATGCAGATTAGTAGCCTGCAACAATCTTGACGCAAATGGAGGCGATGCCCTCTGATATTGACTCTAATCGACCTAAGAAAGGAGTTCAGAGTCGCGTAATCGACACGAAACGGGAGGAACGGAACGGAACGGAACGGAACGCCGCACCTCTGCTTCACCAGCGCCCCGACCTCCGCTAGCGGGATGGCATCGTTGAAGACGGCGGCCTGCGACAACGGGCAGTGCAGCGTGACGTCAAACAGGATGAGCATGACGTCAGACATCTTACTGCTCTCAGGCGGAGGATTTGAGTGCACGTTCTATAGGAAATCATGCGGAGCCACCAGCCGCACCGTCGCCACTGTCAAGCTGCGAACTTGAGAGGGACTGACGCAGCCCCTCTCTAAATTGCGGCTGTCATTCGTTTCGAAGGTGCGCCAATGAGAAAGTTCTCGCTTCATCTGCCAGCAAAGATTGGTGTGCTTTCAACGAACTATGAGGCCCTTCGTACACCGAACGAGATGAAAGGGTGGTTTACGTAAGCTCGATTTGGTTCGGAGCATTCTATGTCATTGGATATCCTTGTGGATCTCGCACGTAGCGACGACAGAACAACGGCAGATGAAGAGAACTAGGGAGGGCAGTCGGGTAGCCACCTTCTTGGAAGGACTCATCGCAACAATGCCAGAATATTCGAAAGGAGCAGCGAAGAGGGAGAAACGAAGAGGTATTGCTGTTCGCACGAGCTCTTTGTTCCTCAACAAGAGTGCGCGAACTTGAGCCACGGATCGCCGGAAGCAGCCAACGGAAGGGCTCAGCTCTGCGCAGAAAACTTCCAAATCGAGAAGTTTGAGGAAGGTACTAGTAGGAAAGAAGACGTGTTCCAGCATAAGACGTCCCTCCTTATCGGAACGGCAAAAGAAGGAAGACACGAGTAGATTTGATGTATCAGGGTTCACCTGTCGGCACATGGGGCATCGTCGGATTGGCTGCGCGTTTTCTAAAGCCTTCGGTTTGTTGGGGTCGACGCGGGCGGCCATGCATGCGCAGGAGCGGCAAAACACGTGGCCGCACTTGAGGCCGACCGGATCGAACAGCACGTCCTGAAAGCACGGACATTGACTGATCGAGCGGCAAAACTTTTAATCTGAGTATAATTCACAGAGGAGATTTACCATGTCACACAAGGGGGCATCACAAGCGAGGGAAAGAAACGTCTTGGAAAAAGAAGGCCAGCAGTACTACAGCGGAACCAGACTACGAGAAATAGAACGGACTATCAAGAGCGGGCTATGACTGATTAATCTAGGTATTCGCAAAGGCCGGGTTATGTTGCTCTGATGCATCACTGTCGAAGATCTCGAAGCAAGTTTCTCAGAACGTCAACAGGACCAGGCAAGGTTGCTAAGGTTTGGAGTTTATCCATGAAGTTTATCCATGGTGTCAACGAAACTATGAAGAGGTGTCAACGAAACGATGATTTCCTCTGATCTCTTGCAACACAACCATTTGGCTACACCGGTTGTGTATCCCGCTGACCCCCCAATCCACTCACCAAACACAGCGCGCAGTTCAGTTCCAGGGGGTACGGCCCAGGCAAAGTCTCCTCTCCAACCACCCCCCCGGCGCAGAGCACCCCCTGCCGCGCGAATGACGAGCATCGCTTGCTGAGCTCATGTGCAATCTTTTCGTCCTGGGGGCTTTGTATATTCAGGCTTGAGTGCAGCGCTTCGAGCTCGTGGAGAAGCGCACGGTCGACCAAAAAGCTGTTGCCCTTCTCTTTGCGCATAACGCGTTGCATGTACTCGCGACCCGCACCTGGAGGAAGGGAACAGTGGAGATCAAGTTGAATGTGTGAGGCCTACGGAGTGAATGCACGTCTACGCCCGGAGCTTTGCGTATGAGAACCATCCTTTTGCCAGTCCTTGCCTGTTTCTATCAATGTATGTGGCAAGTATAACACTGCTGATCAAGAATGTGGCTATGGCTCTGACCGGTTCGTTGTGGTTACAGGCTGACGGAACTTTTAGTGGTACGACAAAAATCTGTACAGAATTTGGATTTACAGTCTGAAATTGAGGCTTGCTGCAAGAAAGGGGCCTCCCAGAGGGCTCCAAGATGTCCAGGGCTCCTAAGGTGTTCAGGAAAGATGACAGCAGCCATAACTGGAGGTCCCCCTATCGGGCATTGCTTTGACGTGCTAGGCGATACAATCCTGTATCAGTGCCTTTCGTGGACGTTGCCAGATCTTTGTTTTAGCAGAAGGTCTCGCGGAAAAGTAGAACCTCTTGGTGATTGAAGGGCCACCAAACCCACAATCTCAACACCTTTCAAAGGAAACGCCTGAACGTATGGGGCATGTACTTCAAAATCTTAGAATGCATTATGCAGACAACTGAGGTGACAAGAAAGGGCACAGTGTAGGAAAAGAATGAGAGCATTGAAACTACACTACGGGGCAAGAAGAGTCCTTGATGTACTGAAAAGCAACAAGCAACAAATCAGCAAGAACAACTCAGTAAGAACACAAGAAGCAGCCAGAACCAAAAAACTGCTAGAAAGAGCAACCTGCACTCTTCTCAGTCGCAAAAAGACGCTGAGCAGAGTTCTGAGTAGGTACAAGCATCAAAAGAAAGCGTACTCACCTGTTCTGTGGACCTTATCGTACTTCTTGCACACTTTCCTCACCGCGAGCGCGTTCACGTGCGCAAAGTCCACGAGCTGGCGCACCTGCTCCGCCAGCTCAGCGTCGGTTTCCACTTGTGGGGGCCGCGGCGCCTTCTTCCACGGCATCTGCCACCACCTCTTTTTCACAGCTGCTTTGTACAGCGGGCTGAGCCCATGTTTGTTCAGCAAAAACGCCGCCCGGTCTTTAAAGAGCTTCGACACGCGTTCCACCTCCTTGCCTAAGATGGGCCAAAACCCCCCGTCGCATGCGGTGCACAACGCCCGAACGGGTCTGTGGGAAGACTGGCACACGAAGATGTCGGGAGGGGGAATGGAGGGATCCCGCTTCCGGCACTGCGAAAGCGGCTGCTTGAGCTTCTTGTAAGAGATGCAAATCGACGCAAAGTCCTCGTTCAGCTCATACTGGCGGAACCACCGGAACTGGCTGCTGAACTTCATGCTGGGAGTGGCATTGTAGACAGGGCCCCCTCGCTCGGGTCGCTCACAAGACCTTAAGAGAACCACAACTCCTCAGACTGCACCACTTCCACCCCCCCTTTCCAAATCTTGTGGCGAGCTCCCTCAGAGTCAGAGTTATGTGAGTTGTTTGTCTGACGCCATTTGCGCCGAGTTTCTTGCAAGCTTTGCCATTGCAGGCCCATGCATGTGCCTTTTGCTGCAAGGCAGCGAGGGTCAGGTCAACCGTCAAGTACAGGCTGGCAACGATTTTAGGGTTCCCCGCCACGGCAATGGTTAATTGGCCGTGGCGGTAATGGTTTGCTTTCTGTTTGCGCAACTTGCAAATCAACTTGAACTTAATCACGTGATGGTGTTGACAGGCGAGCAGTTTGAATCTTGATCGTCGATCTTACCAAGTGGGAAGTGATCGTACGACCGTGGTATGGATCTGCTCCTCAAGATCTTATCGTACGGCACACATTCCCACCATGTGAACGCGGTTCGATGAGCTGTTTTCGGATGTGGTAACTCAGTCATGTGACCGCACTCCAGTCCTTCCCCGGCAGCGAGCCATTGTGCTGCAACCTTCGTACCGTAGTGGCACGACCCATTCGCACCAAAAATAACTCGTAAGGCCTTGGTGCGAAAAACTCCGGAAATTATTTAAATTGGTGCGAACGAGCGAAATGGAAATAAACGCAGATGAAGCCGGAAACTGCGTAGGAATAGGCT